CTCTATTCTACTCACATTAGCCTAATCCAAAATCTTTGAAAACAGCCTTTTATATAAAAACCTTAAATCGAGGTTGACTTAGGGTTTTTCTTTCCTTTAATAAAACTAGTTTCAAGGTGAAAATAATCTTAAATCTATGTAATTATAAGGTTTCTTTTCGCAAAGTCTTGTATGCTCAGATAAAATCCACCTTGTCATGAAATTTTAATAGGCAATGTCATTTGATCTAAGGGTCCTAATTGGATCATATCGGTGTGACGACAGCTAAACGTCATTATGGACCTAAGTGACATTAGTTTTTAAAAAATAAATTTTTAATCCTTTTAAAATGAAAGGTTTGAAACTACAATATTTTTCCTTTATTTTGAAAAAAGGTTTTCAGTACAAACATTTTCGTGCAGGGCTGGATTAAGCTTACGCGGGGCCCTAAGCCATTCAAAATTTTGGGGCCCTTAGATAAAAATTTTTTCTCGTATATTTTTTATTTATTTAGATATAAAAGTATACTTTTAATATATTATATATCTTTTCATTTAAGAAAGCACATTTAAAATAAAAATAAATAAAATTTTNTTGCATTAATATACAGTAGAGAACCGATTATCCGGAACGATCGGGATTATCGCTATTCCGGATAACTGATTTTTCCGGTTTTCTGAATCGCTACCAAAAGTCGTTTTTTTTTATTGTTAAACCCAACTGAAAAAAAAAAAAAAATTGGATATAATCTAAAAAAGAAGAAAAAACGATGAAGTAATACACTAATGACTATTTCCAAAATAATGGTAAGGTAAACATCTTTCAAAAAAGAACGAAAAATCCTAAATTCTTATGAGAATTTTTTTTTTTTTTTAAAAAATGGCGGGAAAATTTATCGAATTTCGTTCCGGTTAACGGGTTCTGTACTGTATTTGAAAAATCATTGTTTTTCTTAATTTTTTTTCAAAAAATTCATTTTAAGGGGGCCCCTAATCGTTGGGGGCTCCAGGCCATGGCCTAATGGGTAATCAAGCCCTGTCTTCCTGACAATTAAAAGAAAATTGCGAGACAAGGTTGCCATAAGGTTAGATGCTTTCTGGGTGCGATTTAAATGAGTGAATGTCTTTACTTAAGCCTTGCAGCATTGGGGAAGGACATACCACACCAATTAATGATTTCAAACTAATCCGGTAGTACCAAATTTCTAACAGTTTATTTTTTCTTCTTTGGAACGGTTTTCTTGCTTTTAAGATTCTTTCTACATGCATCCTAAGAACTTGGTTGACAAAATTTAGCTGTCTGAAAGGGGGGGACAAAGGAATTGGAAAGTGATTTTCCAAGCCTTGCCCAAAGTGATTGGATTTAAAATGTACAGTAGGAGAAAATATTGTTGATAGTCAGAAAATTGTTGTAGCTCAGAACAAATTTTGTACTACCAAAGATAAACTTTAGAATATTTAAAATCATTAATTAGAATTCTAGTGTGGTAATGCTGCGAAACTTAAGGGAAGAAGATATTAAATCACTGATCAATTCAAGCACCCATGCGCATCAAAGAAATACTAGTTTCCCTGTCAGTCCCAGGCTTTAAAAAGGTGTGTGAAACTTATTACAGCAGATAGAATAAAGCAACACTAAAATCTAGATCAGTTCAGCCTCTCTTCTCTAAAGGAAAAAGAATCAAATATGTAGTAGTCATAAAAAAAATAAGTCTTAATAATTTAATAAGCCGTTGAATACTACTCCATTAAAAAACCTTGTAATTAACTGAAAATATAATGTAAAATCCACATAAAAAATTTGGATGGTTTGCTATGTAAGGTGTAGGTGGAATTCGACTTACAACTTTTCTGATCTCACATAGTGAGTGAGGAGATATACTTTAAAAATTATGAACTTATGTTTTTTTTAAAAGAAAAAACGTCGTGCGAGTGTAAAAAATTAAATTAATGATCAAAATTTTAATTTATTTAGAATATTCAAATCCTTAAATAAGCATATAAAACTAAAGCATGTTTATTTCATAAGTGTCTTCGACAACCGAGTCTTTTTTCAAAGAGTTAAGATTTTTTAAAGTTTTCATTAAATTACTGTAACCTTTTCTTTAAATTACTGAAATTGTAATATTTTAGATAAATAGTATGTACAGATAAAACACAAAATACTTCAAATTTCAATAAAATTTATTTCAAACTCAATGGAATTTAATACAATTTAGATGTCAAATTTATTAATTTTAAACAAAATATCACACATTTTTGGAAACACAACATTTGTGAGCAAACAAAATACTAGATTCTTAAGCATATTGTATTTAAAAAAAATTATGTTTTGCGATACAATGCAGGTGTTATAACTCACATAAAATGATATCATATCTTAGACATAATGAATAAAAACTAAAATAATAAAAAATGACTAGATCCCCATCTAGCACACAAAATAGTTTAAACATTCAGATTTTAAACAGCTATAAAGCATTTTATAAAATAGATAATGTAAAAAACTTGTTGGAAATGAAATTTTAAGTTTAAAAATGAGCATACAACTTTTAAAACAAAGTAATTAATTGAAATATTTAATTTAATATGTTGTCTGTGCAGACAACATATTAAATAAAAAATTTAATTTTGGAATAAACATCCAAATTTTACTATGTGAGGATAATTAAAAAACGGACAAATAATGTAATTAATGAATGAAATTTTTAATTTGAAAATGAGAATACATTTGTCAACTTTTAATTTAAAAATGAGAATAAATTTTTAAGGGGTAATTTGCTTTTAAAAACGAGTGCATTTGAAAAAAAAAATTTTAAATTAAAAATAAATTTAAATAACAGTTTAATTAAAAATGAGCATTTATTAAGTGAAACTTTAAACTTAAAAATTAACATATAGAATTTCTTAGAATAATTAGAAATACAATAAGCAAGCATTTTTTGATGGAAAATTTTAATTTCTAAATAAGTGTGCCTTTTAAAAAACTAGAGTACATATTTTAGATGCATATGACTTTTTATTTAAATAGATTTATTAGATTAATACAACTGAATTTATGAAAGAAAGTATTGCAAATATTAAATATGATATTTGCAAATATAATATGCAAAAGAGAAAAAAATGATACATTTATTATAATTAAAATCTCACCAACTTAAAACATCAGAGTTTAAAACAATAAAAAACAATGAGCATATGTATGAATTAAATCATTAATAGTAGTCCTAACAAATTCTTGTGAAATGTGCAATATTATCACAAAAAATATTATTTTACTAGTAATCTCTTATAAGCAATAATGCTAAAAACAAAAATCGAAAATAAATTACGATAGTCATACCATTTTAAAACTGTGTTAATAACATACAAATAAAAACAATTGATGATATTAACATTAAATTAAAACAAGTTTTATTAAAAATAACTTAACATCATATGACACAAATGGGAGAACAGCGAAAGCTAACAAAATTAATTGCAGAAGAATAAGGATTTAAAACAGTCCCATGTTAACATTAAATATTAATTTATATTACAGGGTTCTTAACTGAAACGAAATCTAAAATCAGTGCAATAATGTTTATTAAAACTATTTTTTAAAATATTTTTTACGAAAAAAGATATCAGCTTTCAAATTTTTCAAGTAAAAAAAAACAATAATGCGGTGAATGCAGATGCAAACAATTTTCATAAATAAATATATGCGTCACCTTTTATAAAATGGGTCGTTTAGAAAAAAAAACACAAAATTTTTTACCTATGTTTTAATCAATGTAGGATACCTGTCATTCTATAGAATGCAATCACATTGTATATACTTAGACTAGCAAAGTATGTTGAGATTAAAATTTCACAGATCACTGACTCTTAGTATAAAATGACTTATGAAAGCCTAAGAGACATTCAGTACAACAACTAAGCATATATTATATAATATAATATATATAGCATACATTCTATACAATAACTATAATATTAAATTTCCTATTTCATAAATTGTCTAAAAATACTTATATTATAAAAAAAACTAACCAGTTTTTGGAAATGGGAACTTTCCATTTTAATTTCAAATTAAACAATAAATACTATGAATTCCAAGTAAATAAATAATAATAAAGATAATAATTAGAAGGAAAATATAAAAATAATAAATTAGGAAATATTAAGTACTTTGAATAAGATTAAGATCAAGATTTTAGTTTCTGAAACCAGGTCAACCATTTGAAAAATTTTTACTGTAAAAGGAAATTAAGTAAGTAAATATTATATATTTATTAAACACTCAAGCACATAAATTTAGATTTTGGTTGCTCTTGTGTCTTTATAAGTAACAGAAAAAGAGATTTTCACAGTTCAAAAATGTTAGTTTTTACAAAAATATAACAAACATTTTTCAGATATAACTGGTTTTATTAACCACTGAAATTACTTATTTTTGATTGGAAAAATAACTAAAGAAATTGCATTTCCTTACATTTTTTACAAATAAAAAATTAATAAATAAAAGATATAAGTTCACTTTTTAAAATTAACATTTATTTCATTTTTAAAATAATATTTAAAAATAATAAATTTAGATTTTTATAAAAAAAAAAAGAAAAACCATTAAAAAAGAATTTAACGTTATTTTTCTACATAAAATGTTGGTGGAAAAAAAAAAGAGTTTAAAAAAAAAAACAGAAAAATTAAAAAATTAAGCTGTAATTGACTAATTTATTTAAAAACAAAATTATAAAACATAAATAGACATTCTGGATCTCTTATACAAAAGCAAAAAAAAAAAAAATAATAATAATAAAAATAAAGAAAAAAAACCATTTAAAAAGAGTCATATTTTTACAAAATTTTTTTTCCAGAAATATCCAACATTGATTTTTACATAGAAACAAATTGAATTACATTTGATAAGAGTATGATTAAATATTTTAATGGTGTGTTTTAAACATTTAAAAATAAAGAGGGGCAATTTTTAGAATATTAATAAACTTTGTTCAACTAAAATAATAATTCAAAACATTGAAATATAACTTTTTTAGTTTTAAAATTTACAAGCATTTATTAACAACACCTACATCAATCAAGTATTCAAAATTACGAATAGAAATTGTATGAAATATCTTTAAAATATCGATTTCAAAATATTTCAGAAATACATCACAACTTTTAGAGTGTTTTAAATCATTCTACATGCATCATACTTATGTTAACAAACACTAGTTTGGCAAAAGAATAATAGTTTATCACATTTCTACTTCGTCATCAGACATTTCATCAGTCTCTGAAGGTCCTCGTATCGCTTGGTACCACTGATTTGTTAAATCAGTCATTTGGCTTTTACAATCTTTTACCTCCTGCAGAAATAAGTAATTTTTTTAAACAATTATATCAACAAAATGAATTATTTTAATATAAAATAACAATTATTACATAACATATTATAACTGTTGCATATTATATTACAACTGGCAAATAAAATTCTGTTATATGTAATAAGGTACTAAATGCTGAAAGTCATTGAATCATTTTTTAAACATATTTTCAGAGCGGCCACTCTTCAGGAAAACTCAAATTCTTGAAAATTTCCAGATTCAAGTTTCACAGTTCTTCTCATATTAAACTAGCATAATGTGAATAATAATGTGAAAATTTTGCATGCATAAATATGCAAAATGTCATGCATTAAGAATTTATGCAAAATTACTAACACTTTTTCTAAGCTAAATTTGTTTAATATTTTATTTCATACTTTAACATATCATGAAAAATTTTATTTCATGAACCCATTTTAAAATATTATTAAAATTTCTGGATAAAAATTAATTTCTAAAAATGTTTATAATCTTAATGTCTAAAGAACTCACTAAAAGAAATGCTTAGTAAAAGAAAAAAAAATTATTAGAATTTTTACATACAACAGTATTTTACCAGAAAAATGAATAATATTAACATTGGATAAGTTTATATAAGATATATCTGGTTACATAAAACAGTTTTAGTGCCTGAGATTTCTAGGTATGCTGATAAGTAAGTAAACAATAAAGTTGAGCATAACCCTTAAATTTTGAAATTTCTAAATAGTCCGAATTTTTTTCCCTTCAGTTTCTAGTGAGAATGGCAATTCTGGCAATTCATTTTACCTCTTACTAACATAAAAAAAAACTGAATAACCAAAATAACTTTTATTTTTATTTTTAAAGTTACACAATTCAGTTTGCAATACAGATTTTAGTGTTCAGCGTAATTTCAATCTAAATCTGATGACAAGGATTTAAGATTTTCTGTTTTAAACTAACCCATATCTGCATTATAAACCGAGAAAAATTAACTAGAATATCCCATGGTTAGCTTGATGTCAACATAGGGATTCATCTAATCATGAGTATGCCTCATATCAGCAAAGAAATCGGGTCACTTAAAAGGATTCTTAAGCTAGGGTGGCAAAGCAATCAAGGTACTGAGCTGTTTTGGAGTAAATGTTCTTCCATTGATGACCTTGCAAAGTAATGTTGGTGGGTATCAGCTTGCTTGGGAAAAAAATGGCCGGTGAGCAATCCTGAGCATATTGCAAGCATCATGCTTCTGAGCATGAAATTGTGAAGCTTCAACCTCTCATTCCCCTTGGCTTTAAACTGGCTGTTGAATGAATGTTTTACTTTTTTAAAGGGAGTCTTTTCTGAAATGCAAACCTCAAAAAAGGACCAATCACAAAAATCCTAGCCTGAAACCAGAAATATTACACAACAAAAGACATTCAGAAAAAAAAACAGTTTACAGAAATCCAAATCTTAAAATTACACTATAACAACAACACTCAGCATCATTCAGTGCCAGCCCCCCAAGCTCTTGGGCGCATTCATCCCCCCCCCCCAATTTTTTTTTGCTAACTTCCCCTTCCATGTTAGCTTGTTCGAAATAGTGCTATGTTGCTTCTTTTATTTATGTACCTACTTAAAAAAAATTCTCTCGCCTAAATTCCCCCCCAAACTATTCGTCTTATTTAGTGTAAAAATTACCCCCCAAGCTTTAAGTGGGTGCATCGTGAGCCCACCTTCTCCCCTGATGGGGGCCTCTGGCATCATTTGCAGAAAAAACTTAAAACAGTTGATTTGATAATATCCACGACATGACATTCAAGATTTACAGCAATAAAATAATATTAAACATAATATTCAAAATTTCCTACGATAATAAAAAAAAGAAACAAGTTATTTTAAATATTAGACATATACTATCATAAAAACTATTCTTATTACATTGTAATTGAGGAACACTGAAAAATAATTTTAAAAAAAATTTATGCAAAGAAATTAAATAAATATATATTTAGAATTTAAAACATATAGGTATTCATACATTATAAAAAATCATTTCCTATTTTAATACTAAATAACAAAATAGTTAAAGGGATTGAGACAAAAAAGTGATAAATCACGATCTTCCTGAAAGTAATATATTAAACTGTTCGTCTTTGTTGTTTTCAGAGAGATACTTCACAAATATCTGGAATTTCCATCAGATAACAGCGAAACACATTTAAAGGTCTTCATTTAAAATACAGTGTTTTTTTTTCTTTTTTTAACCAAAAATACTCTTTTAAAAAATTTGAAAACGGGTCTCATCATTATATTACCTAAGTTTTTCAGTTGAGATTCATAAATCACAAAAATTTAAATCAATGATCAAAAATTTTAAATAATGAATTACAATCTTAAAAAACATTAAAAAGTGAAATCAAACATATTTTGTAACATTAAATACTTTCATACAAATAAATAGAATTTACCTGGTGAGTAAACCTTCTGGTGAAGAAGGGAATTAAATATTTCACATCTAATTTAACAAAACCTTTGAGATTACTTTTCATGAAATTCACTTCATATTCTTCTTCAGTTAATTCTGACAAATGTTCAGCATCAATAGTTTTTCCCTTAAAAAACAAACAAACCAGGAATTAAAAGTACAATAAACACAGTCAAACTGTCTGCATTTATCAAATGTTAAAATTTGCTACATAACTGTCCTTTTAAAATTTTTATTTATTTGCTTAAAAGAATTATAATTTCAATAACTTCTACAAAAACAATTGTTTAACCCTTTAACTATGAAAACAAAACATAGTTCACAAATCTTTAAGATTAATAATACTGATATACAACCATAACTTTAAGAAATTTTTCATGCAAAAATTATAATTTTAAAGAAATTTTTAATAAGTCTTGTTTCATTCTTTAACTATTGATTCCCAAATTTAGCTGAGCATAATATCTAGAAAGAAAACAGGGCATTGTAACTTCTTTATCATTTCAAGACTAACAATAGCTAGAATCAATCACAAAGCGAAGTCATCAATGAATATATTATTTTTATAGGTGAGCATTTTCTATCCATGTATTTCAATAACCGATCTTTAAATTTAACATTTTAAGAAAAAGTTATCAACAAAGACCTTAAAAACATTTTATGTTCTCTCTCTCTCTATATATATATAAATATATGTGTGTGTGTGTTACTGTGAATAACCGAAATTGGTTGTTGTTGACTTCTGGTGAATGTCGACAGTCACATAGTCGCTTTGGTAAATGTCCGATATATATACTAGGTCTAGTTAAGTGCCACTGCCTGGTATACCTTATATCAATGTTATTTTAAGGTTCAATGCCACTGCCTAGTATGCATTTAACCGGTACTCCGAACACTGATATTTCTCCTAATCAGTCCTCAGCAGGTATTAACATATAGATATTAATATAAAATACCATTGAGAATTTTCCTATTTTGAACAACAATCTAAAAATTAAATTGAATGACAAAAAAAAGTTATATTAATTTAAATTTTTTATTTTATTTAGAATGATAAACCTTGTCAGGACAAATATAAAAACTATAACTATCATTGGATTATCAAGGGAAAAAAAAAGCAATGGCTGTATATTTATACGAGTTTTCCGGTATATTTATATTGTATAAGCTAAAATGAAATTTAAAAAAGTGAAAGAAATAATTCTTTAAACCATTTTACTCCTAGAAAGAACAAATTAATTATGAATAACTTACCATTTCTTTGGTTTTGCTGAGGGATATTTCAGGATCTTGACCTTTCCTCTTCCTTCTAGGTTTTTTACCAGCTTTCAAAAACTATTTAATAAAAAAAATGCGTATGAAATTAAATATTTTTAATAGTGTTTAACTGAACATAGAGCAAAACGAATAAAAAATAATGCATTTTCACTTTAATATATAGATATGAAGCATATAGTTCTAAAGGAAAATATTATTTACAAAGTTTTCCTATCTATAACAAAGAGAGCTGATATTTTAAATATATTTACTTATAAACCTGTAAACAGACAGACAAAGTGTTTTAGAAATATGTAGAATATGTTTGAATATTCTATAGGTATTAGGAAGGATTTAGTGTGAAGTTAGATGAAGTTTTAAATGCATAGACTTTACAAGGACTTTTTTGTAGGATGGCCCTTGGCCTCTAAGTATTATATGTATGACACGTTTTTTTTTCCTATTATTGTTTAAAACAAAATTGGTGGAGTTGGAATATTTCTAAAATGGTTATTAAATAGTTGGCTGAGCAGGGCCTGAACTCGCAAATGTTTCTTACAAGAAGTACAAATTTTATATGAATGCAAAAATGTGAGGAATATGTGGAAAAAAGAGAAATTTTACATAAAATATAGTAAAAATCTGATGCAACAAAAACTTAAAATAACAATAAAAATTAACATTATAAGAGCTTAATTTATATTTAAAAAAAAGCAAACAAGATAATAGGTTATTAATTAAAATAGGCTTTTTGTACCACTGTTATTAATTTGAAATATTTTGTATTAAATCAGGCATCCAGTGGTTGATATATAGTATTGATAACCATTAAAGTGACAGTAAGAATTTAATTATAAGTTGCATGAACTTTATTCACATTTACGCGTGGAAGTTTTTGACATGTTTAACTTTTTGATAGGTCTTATTTATGTATAAAAGTTTCATATCAAAAACCTTGCTTATAAAGTTCCTAAGTTTCAAAGCCCCTGTTCTGGAATAATTGTTTATTTGTGCAAAATTCGAAAGCTAACTTTAAGATATTTCTTAACGAGCATCTTGGAAAAACTAATGAATTTGTACAAGACTTTCTTTAGTAAATTTCAAAATTAATTAAAATAATCAGAATTTTTTTATAGACAACAATGTGGAAAAAATTAACATTTGTAAAACTAGAAACTTACTTGTAGCTTCTAAAAATAAAAAATCGAATATAAATAATCAACAAAAGTAACTTAACTTCAAAATTGTTAAAAACAAAAAATGCTTTGATACTGTAGAAAAGAAACAAAAGTATAAAATTAAATTTCATTTGAAAAGAACTTTAGTTTTAATGAAACATTTAGAAATTTATTTATACATTTCATTTTAACTTACCAACAGAAATAATATTCATTTAAAGTTTTAATACAACAATAAAAAAGCAGCTTAAAAATAAAATATTTAAATTAATATTTGTATTACAGTCGAACCCCGCTATAGTCAACCTGGGATATAGTGAACACTCGGATGTAGTGAACTTTTTTAGCAGTCCCGTCCGTATTCCTATTTAAATAATGTTATTTTTAACGCTTATAGTGAACAGCTTAGAACTTGGAAACTCGGTTATAGTGGACTCAAATTTCATTTCTTTAAATATCTTTTTCAGTCCTCCATCTTTAAACTTGTAGGTGTTGGGACTGAAAATGAATGCATTCCTATAAAATGTGTCATATTACTCTCCTTTATGCTTATCACTTTTAACTATACTGTAATAAATGTCAAACAGATCATTTATCTTATACTCCCCCCTCCCTGACAAGCCTCGCTTTATCTCTTTTCCCCAAGCTTGCTCTACAACTAGTTAACTTGGCCACCTGCTGAATTTTTGGAATTTTCTTATCTGTTCAAACCATATTCTTTACAAATCACCCCTTGACAATCAAGAAGGGGAACAATTTAACTCATTCTACAGCTGCTCTCTTCATATTCTTACATTATCTATTTGAGACAAGATTTTTATTTCAAAAGCAGTGAAAATGGCAAATTCTCTAAAGAGAAAAGCGTTTTCGATAGAGGACAAAGTTAAAATTGTAAAGCGTATTGATGATGGAACCAATCAATCGACACTGTGTAAGGAATTTTCCTTGTCAAAATCTACAGTTTCAAACATTTGGAAAAATCGAAGTGCAATTCTTGCGGCATACGACAAAAACATGGTTTCATCGAAAAAACTGCGTGGAGCTGAAAGAGAAAACGTAGAAGATGCTTTGTTAAGATGGTTCGAAATCTTGTTCAAAATGTAAAAATCTTGCATTCTTTGCACATTGTAGATAAGAAAATTGATGAACTCAATTTAAAATCAAATTGTGTTCAATCAAAAATCACAAATTTTTTTCATAAAAAGTGAAAATAAAACTAATATTTAGCGACGTAATTACTTTTTCCATCAATTTTTGCTTTATTATCTGTTAATTAGTTAATAATTTTTTAAATAACTTATGCAAAATTGCAAAGCCAATTTTCAATCATTCAACTGTCTTATGCAAAAAATATTCTTCAAAAAATTTGGATATAGTGAACCATCGGTTATAGTGGACACATTACTGAGTCCGCAGACGGTTCACTATAGCGGGGTTCGACTGTATTATAAAATATAAGTATTTTTATGTCTTAAAAAAAAGAGAAGGAAAAAAATAAAATTATGGTAGCATTTTTTCTTCAAATACTTTTGGGAGAACGTCTTTCCTTCTAATGCTTTTGGGAGAACATCAAAAGTTTCTAAATTTAATTTCTAGTACTTCAAAAAACCAAATAAATAAAAATTTTGCAAATATTTGCAAGTATAAATAAATGAAAAAAATATTTTGCAAGAATTCATGTATAGGAAAATTAAGAGAAAATTTACTCTCTTGATTGTTTTTTAGCTTGGCATTACAAACCCTAGTTCCTGGTTAAATCAACTATGTATAACAAATCAGTAGTTGCAGAAGAAAATCTTCTCAGACATTAAAAAAAAAAGCATTACACTGTAACATAAGCCCTTGTTAAAATTTTATATATAACATAATGTACAAACCTTCATCAAAGGCATAGTAGATCCACCTAGCACCAAGGTAGTAAATAAGACAATAATCAACGTTGTTGTCACAATTACATGCCTTTTTTCATCTTCAAATTCTAAATGCAGAGCTAAAGCATAAGAGATGGCTCCTCTTAAGCCTAAAAATACAACGCAAAAGCAAAATTGTTATGTAAAATTTGATTTAATAGAAAAAATAAATCAAGGCCAGTTTTAATCATAGTTGTCTCAAATTTCTTAGAAAACAAATAAATTTTTTTAATTTGTGGATAAAAACAAACGAAAATATTTGACTTTATTTATAGTTTTCATAAAGATAAATTTGTAAAAATATAAATCAAAATTAATTTCCCCAAATTATATAAACTTCAATAGAATTAGATTAAAAAGGACAGGATAATTAAAAGAAATATTTTAGGTAGGAGTTATTTTTAATTAAGATTAAAAAATAAGCATAATATTTAAGTTCAAGGTGTTAAAAGAATAGACGGAATTGAAAAAAAAAAGGAATAAAGAAATCAAAATCTAATAAAGAAGTAAACACATTTTTTACATTACTATTACTTGTAATGAAATTAAAAATAATGTAATTAATAAAAGTATCTGTAACAAAAACAAACTATATGAGTCACCTATAATAGCTTTCTCAGTTACTTAAGTGACGAAGACTCTCCATAAAAAATTACTTTATTAAAATTACAGACATTATCTCTGATAAAATACATAAATATCTCTAGAAATTTGGAATTTCAATATAACAATAGAAAATTCAACATTTCTAAGCAGTAAAGATAAAAAAAAAGAAATTAATAAAAATATTTACCGCTGAACCACATGATGAACATCATTTTCTTATTAATCTTGTGTTCTCTAAAATGATTCACCACGTAACTCAAAGGATATATATTCAGAGCTCTTCCCAACAAACATAAAATCTATAAAATAACATTAAATTCACTGATTTATATAAAGTGAATATATCTGTCTATAAGTTGGAATAAGAAAGAAATTACATGAATTACATTTATATATGATTAATGCTAAAAATAAATCATGTTTATTTCTATTTTAAGGGCAGAAAAGAGCTCCCTATTCGAGAATATAATAGAATACGAGAAAATACTCTACATTATTGTTGATCTTGTATTTTGAAAGTAAAAAGGAATGCACTATTCAAGAATATATAGCTTAGCATTCAGGAAAATATTATTCTATGGAAAACTGCTGGTACAATAAGTGGACCAAAATGACAGGCTTCACCAAGATAAGGAATGAAAGCAAAAGGTTAAAATATCAAAGGTATAAATAGGAAAAGTAGAGTGTGCATTAAAAAATGCAATTTACATTTAAATTTAACTTTGATTGCATTTAATTTTAGACAGCTGTTGGCCTAAATAATAATTAATATTTTTTTGTGATTGTTAAGGATAATTGCTTCACACTCGAAATAAACCTATATATTTGCAATAAAATTCAGATTTGTCCATTAGATTTTGACCTTTACAGCTTATGAGTTACTATTTAAAAGTCCTTTTGTTTTTGTCATCTCCTGGTGTTTCAATTTTAAACTTTACACAGACAATAAAGAATTTTTTATCTGGAACTTAGATAATACTGAAACAAATTCTAAACAATATTTGAAAACTGGAAATAAAGAAATCCCAGGTTTAAATTTTTTTGTAATTCAAAATTTCTATAGTCTCATAAATAATAAAAGCATAATAATAATGCTTTATGATAAAACTTCATTATATTTGCAATGAATAATTAGATGAATTTTAACCTATTTATTATAAAGAGATAATAGTACATTTTAATATAAAAATCACTGTAACATCACAGGTCAAAACATATATTTATCACAGGCATGATTTCATAACAGGTATTTTTAACCATATTAAAAAGTGCAAAACGTAAAAATGTAACTTCACAGTAAAAAGTTATAGTCTCGTCTGGTTCATAGTTGACTTACATACAAACATAAATCTATTTATAAGGAAGAAAAATAACTGTACAAAGCATAATTAAATAAAGTTAGAATTCATAAAATATTTACTTACAATACTCCAAATTACTAGAGATGGTTTTATAATTAAGCGAAAGCTGAAAATTGCTAGGCCAAGATATGCAAAAACACAAGTTTCTGAAAATAAAAATACACCTTAAATTTCATGATCAAATAATTGTTACAATCTATGCAACTTTAATATACAACTTTAAAGAAATTATTGTGAGATAAAAAAATATGTCAACAGTATGTTATAACACAAAAATGCTATAAAATACAAAATTTTAGTATGAAAATTGGCTATTTTTTTTCAAATAACAAAACATAAACATAGATAGATTCCGCTAAAATCCAACATTTGCATCCAAGCTCTATAACTCAGGGGTGATTGTGAGCCCAAGTTAAAATTCCGTAAAATTTCTTAAGTTAAAAAAATAATAATAATAATAACAGTTTAAATTGAAAAATTAGAAAAAAATTTAAACAAGCTTTTTTTCCTTTTTCTCAATATTTCTTAGTTTACTTAAACTGTATTTCAAATTTTACATACCATTACATCTATACCATTTAAACATACCTATGATGACCTGGAGAAGTAATTAAAATTTACAAATATGTCTTTCTTTCTTCAGTTTATGATTATAACAACTATTTACTGATAAAAAATTAATATTAATCATGAATATCAGCTTTAAAGTATCTCTCTGGCTCTCCCTTACAAACAAATAAAATAAACTTTGTTTTTAAGTTCCTCTGAAAATTTGATTTCCGGAAACTTCTGTGATGAATGATTTTTTGAAACGCCTGGACCTTCGATTTCCGGATCATTAGCAAAAATTCCGGAAATCCGGATTTTTTCCGGAGCACAATCAGCCCTGATAACTTAATAATATAACTATAAACAATTACAGTATGTAAGGGAGTCAAAATTATCTTTGTCTATTTAATGTACAATATTACCTAATATTAAAAAACACTGCTCATGTTAACAAATCTTTTTACACAAAAATTTCTTTTTTCTTCTTCTGGCATTGAGTTTTTCTAAATATTTGGGGCACGACACAAGATTCCCTGCTCAATGGAGACAGAACTCGAAATTGAATTTGAGTAGCTCAAATGTTAGAGAAATCTCATACATTTTGTTAGCTAACTAATTTGAATAACAGATACGTACCTGCAAAAAAGGCTAAAGTCCTGAGCGTTTGTTGCATGGTGATTTGTGTAACAGGTGAGAGATTAAAATGGGTATAATGAGACATCACAACACCATTAAACAATATGGACATGATACCTAAAATCAAAAATTGATACGTCAAAAACCACACTCAGACAAAGAATGCAAAAGAATTGATTAAAAACATACCAGATAGGTGCAGTCCTTCCGCCAAGCCATAAGGTGCATAAGTAAACACTAATATCATAGCAAATTCTAAGGATGGATTTTTTCTGAGATCAACATACTTAAATAAGTACTAAATTAAGGCTCATAATATATGTATAAATAGTAATATACAAATACAATAAATTATTGAATGTAAAAGAAGAATATTTTTGAAATCAATGTACTAAGTTCTAAATTATAGCCAATATATTAGTGTATATTAATTCACGGATCTCATTCTGTACATAGTGCATATATAAAAGGAAAAAAAAATATATAAAAATAAATCCTGTAAATGTTTTCTAAGATTAACATATCTAAATAAGTACTAAACTAAGTTCCAAAGTATAAGTAAGAAAAAACTGCATAAAAAAGAGTAAATCATTGATTGTTAAACTAACATAGTCTAAAATATTATATCTCTATAAAAAAATATTTACAACACTCATTAACATGACATGTATAAACAGCAACACTGCAGATCAACTAAAGGCACAGTGTAAAAAAAGCCATAATTGTTTTAAATAAAAATAAAAAAATCACCTTTTCCCGAAAACTAACTGAGCAAGTAATGGGAAAACAGAGAAAATGAGTTTCTTTTTCCTAACCTTAATTATTAAGATATAATAAACAATAAAATATCTTAAAATAATCAACCTTTATTTGATTTTCTTAAGAACATAATTTATGTATTACAACATATTTTTATTTATACAGTTAATAACTCACTTAAGGTAGAATAACCAAAATTTGCTAACTGCTTTAATTTCATCACTGCAGGAATTTAGTATAAGACTATGTAAATTGAACACAAAGAAATACCAATAAGTAATTTATAAAAATATATTTATTTAATTCATAGCATTACTCACTTTTAAAATCTAAAATAATATATATAAATTAACAAGCAAGAAAATCATGTTAATACAAATAAACGTATTCTGATGGTAAACACAAATATAAGATATAAAAAAGACATAACAGCTGTCACTTGAAAAATTTTATTACTTATATAATACATCTTTGCATTGTTTAAAAAAAAAATTAAACTTTTTTTTCAGTTTGTTCCTAAGAAATCAATAATTATATTTTAAAAAAAATTCATGAATATTTTGAGAATTAAATTCTTACTTTGTAAATAATATACATATATATATATTTTCCGGATTTTTAAAAAAAAATTTCTGATTTTTTGTTATTTTTATTATTATTTTTCATTGTTCTGTAATTTTTCCCTTGTTTTCTCTACATTTTGAANTAATTATATTTTAAAAAAAATTCATGAATATTTTGAGAATTAAATTCTTACTTTGTAAATAATATACATATATATATTTTCCGGATTTGTAAATTTTTTTTCTCCGGTTTTTTGTTATTTTTATTATTATTTTTCCTTTTTTTCATTGTTCTGTAATTTTTCCCTTGTTTTCTCTACATATATATATATATATATATATTTGCTACTCCAAATCTTTTGAAAAGCAAGAAAAAATGTTCTTAAATGATTTTTTTTTCAAATGAAACAAGAATTTTTTTCAGATAATGTTTTTAATGCTTAACATTAAACAATATTTATACAAATTATGAATAATTTGTATAAATATTGTCTTCGGATCATCCTCAGAGATGTTTCCCAGACCGTCGCCAATAGCCCATTGTGCAGCTCTAGTGCGACCTAAATGCACAACAACAACATTTATAGTTAACTCAATAAAACAGCTAAAGAGAAGTTTACTATTGTTACTACTTTTCATGAAACACTATTCTTAAATGCAAAAATTACGTTTTTAAATAACTTAAAAATGTACGGCAAAAACTGGAAAAATAATGAAGTTCTAATTAATCTCTTAATTTTAATAAAGGCTAATAAATCTTTTAAATTTTTATTAATACATGAACTAAGGATAATTAAAATACATTGTGTATAAAATACTGACATGGTTAAAATTAAATATTAACTGTAAAATATAACTAATTTAACTTTTCGAAGAAAAATATTTATAAAATGAATTGTACGAGAAATCATTAAGAAAAAGGATATTAAAGCTGCAGTTAAAGCAAAAACGACACCAATAGCTGCAGAGGCAAAAAACATTAAAAAAAATCGACCAATTCCATGTAAAACAGCAGCTCCTGCTGACATGCTAGCCATTCCTGGAGATGAAGCTTGAAGAATTGTCCTAAAACAGAAAAACAAATTATATATTCATATTTCATAAAAAATTAAAATTTATATTTTGAAAATGAAATCATGTAGCATAACAAAGAGATTTAACTTTTATACAGTTAAAAACACAATTATATATTATTATAGACTTTTCATATCAAATAAATTGCTTTGTTAATTTTGAATTAGAAAATTCAATTTGTGATCAAAACTAAGTTTGAAACTAGAGATTCTGATTTCATGTCCTAATGTAGCATAATGGTTATGTGAAATATTACTATTTCTGCAATGTTATCTCAGTTAACTGTTACTTATATACACTATTGTCAAAACACTATTTTTAATATTCTGACATCTTAGTATGCTGTTACACATATCTGATAGTCAAAACACTATTTCTTCTAAATTCATTACATTATATTGGTTCTTACGGAGGGAAAAAAAACTTTAAAAAACATGCTTTTAGCTTGAACTTAAATGCTCAAGTTGTTTTAGAGATTTAAATTAATAAAAATTAATTACTTCAATTATATTTCAATCAAAAAAGCACTAGTTTCTCTGTTACTCATGGCCAATAATGGCATTATTAATACTAAAAAGAAAAATAGCTGACCGGACTGCGTAGGGGTCAGGGAATTGGCCTTGTATCAGAAAGGTTTGGGTTTGAATCCCGGACAAGGCAAGGATGTTCTTTCATTCTCTGTACTATCGTCCTTACTGTGGGAGCAACATTGGCCCACCTAATATAGTGCCCCAGAAACAGCGGCCAACAAATCAGCTCTAATACGTCTGAATTGACAAAAGTCAACCCAGGTGTGCTTTGGAGAAAAAATATTAAAAAGAAAAAAATGAAAGGAGGTAGAAAAGTAAATTTTTAATTTTGAAAAATTTACAAACAAAAAAAAAAATGCAAAAGCATCTAGTATTAGTTTTATCAGTCAAATAATTAGATAAGATCTCAAATTAAAAGACAAGATTTTCATGAAAAGAAGAGAATCAAAGAAGAACACCAACTAGATGGCTAGATGATGAGTAAGATATGAATCAGACAAAAGAGAACCAATAAAAAGCCACAAATAAGGTCAAGTAGAAAAAACATGGGCTATCTCTGCTTGAAACAAGATGTAGAGCTCTAAAAAGTAAAGAAAATTTAAAAATAAAGAAAATTTTAATAAAGAAGATTTTGATAGATTACTTTGCGACTCGAAGGCACTTATAGTTTTTGTATCTAGGTAAATACATCTGCCCAAAAATTATTAAAAGTATAAAGAATCAAAGCAAGTCTTTATCAAGAAGTGCAGTTTTTGTAAAAATCTAAAATTACAAAAGAAAACTTATAGCTCTATCTTTGTTTTCCTGTGATTCTCATTAAGGAAAGGGAAAGAATGTAATTTTAAATATGCTTGTGAATGGAACGAGCAATTAAATTAAATGAAAGGAATATTTCAGTCTAAATATTGCAGTTTATTTATATGCAATTCAATAAACAATTTTACAGTAAATATACTTACGTAGCCAGAACAATGGATACAGCATCATTTAATATACTTTCTCCCAGAACTAACATGTTGAGAACAGGCTCAACATCTAAAGCATGAAAAATCGCTATAGTAGCTACGGGATCCACAGCTGAAACCAGAGATCCAAATGCGAAGCTTTCCGTGAAATCTAGTTTATAAGCAACATCTGCCTTTGAAAATAAAAATAATATATTAAGCTAAACAAAGATAATCATCCAACATCTGAAATGCCACGAAAATATTGAAATGCCACAAAAAAATGTTGAAAACAAAATACATTAAATTTTTAAATTTATAACACAAATAATTCAAAATTAAGTTTTAAAAATACTAAGCTATTACTGTTTTACTTGATATATTAGTGTAATAATAATTAGGGAAAATATAAAAATATTTTCATTTTTTTAAAATCTTTTTTATTTTCTTTCGTTTTAGACTTATTTTATGAAAAAAATAAAAATTTAGTGTAATAATAATTAGAGAAAATATAAAAATATTTTCATTTTTTTTAATTTTTTTTATTTTCTTTCGTTTTAGACTTATTTTATGAAAAAAATAAAAATTTCGCATAATTATTCTAAAAAATAAATAATGAAAAATATGACAAATACTTACTATCCCTAATAAATAAACTCCACCTCCAATAATAAAAGCAGATATAGCTGTTCCAAAAATTGCAAAAACTAAGATAGAGCCAATGTTTTGAAAAAAATTTCCCTGTGGTGATAAAAAAGAGACAATTTTTTAAAAAAATATTAAATTTAGAAAAAAAATAAGTGAACAGGAGATATTAAAAACTTACTTTATGTAAATTATAACCAGATTCATACATAATAGGAGGCAGAAGCACAAGGAAAAATGTAGTAGGGTTAAAAGCTTCTTCTTTCTGAAAAAGTGTATGTATCTATCCATTACTTTTAAAATACATTAATTAGCATAATATACTAACAATAATGCACAAATAACATTCAATAACAGAAATATATCTAAGTTTAATGTAAAATTGGTAGACAGAGAACTATAATTTTAAAACTATATAAAAATTAATGAATATGGGAACAAACCTGCCAGTTTCCTAAGTTGTTATTAGAAAACAGCTTTAAAACCAAACCAATCAGAGCACCTATAAAAAAAATGATCACAAAACATTAAAATAATTTTAAACAATTTATCTATTTAATCAATTATCGCATAGTTGTGAATTGAAAAAAAGTAAAAATGCCATTTGTGGAAAAACTTTAATTTTCCTTTCTAAATACAAACTAAGAAATGCCTCTTATGAGTGCCAGTCATATATATTCGAGATATAATAGATATAATAGAGATATAATAGATATAATATATATCTCTAATAATATATATTTAAAGCAGGGGTAGAAATTAAAAATTTTAGTTGCAGGTCCAAAAGATATTACCAATCCACACACATTCTGATTGTTCCAATTACATATCTCTAATAGTTTTCTTTTTAGAAGTTAATAAAATGAATTTAAATAAAAATTACAGTACAGAGAATGTATGAACTATGCTATTTTGTGACAAAAACACAGACCAAAACATGAAACCAAACATAAAAAAAAAAAAACAGCAAACTACTGCTTTACATCAATTGTTGGTCCAGAGAACGACCTATAATTATTTCATAGTGGTCCCAGTGAAAATTTAAAGGTCTCGGACCACCATTAATTCCGTTACTGCACTGGTTAAGTTAAAATATGCAACTGTGTGAACCAAGATGTCATTCAACAGAAGAGTTATATAAAGCAACATAAAAGTGTATACAAATCAGCAGGGTTCATTGATTTAAATCAGCTTGATTTAAATCACGATTTAAAACATGATTTAAATCAAATGTTTTTTTAAAAAAAATCATTGATTTAAATCAACTAATTTTTTTCATCTATATGTATTGATTTTAAAAGTTAAAAAACAGTGTTTTAAATTTTTGATACTTTTATTATTTTCTTTTCTTAGTATAAAAATTTTATTTATATAAATTGCTACATTAATTAATTTTAGTTAACGAAATTACTTTCTTGGTGTGTGTTAAATTCTAACACATTTGAAATTGCATTTTTAAAAATCTTTTGATTCTTGAGATTGAAAGTACAGATTAAAGTAAACATTTAATGCTGTGTTAATATAGACTTGCATAGCTGTAGAAAGTAATTAATAAACATGAAATTTTTTCAAAAAATAACACAAATAATGTTAATTAAAATTCTACCTTTTGAATGAAAAAGCGTGAATTAAAATCTACATCATATTTTATTGGTGGAAAATGTATATTTCTGAAGCTTGAGGTTATATTAAAAAGAAATTACCCTAATATGCCAAAAACAGAAAAAGAAAAAAAAAGGGCTGATGAATTCAGATGTTTTTTTCCTAATATAGTGTCATTCTTCCCTTTCAAACTCTTTCAAAGTCTATTTGATGCAGTAGGGTTATTAACTGGTATTTTTTTCTCATAATATGTTTACAGTATCTTTGACATTATCTGATTTTCTATAAAGAAATTTTGTGAAAAAAAATTCCAATGAGTACATAGATTTTCTAATTTTTTTTTTTTTTAGCTTGACTTATCTATTTTGATATAGAATTAAAAATGAATATTTTAATATAAAAATATATAGATTAAATATGGATTTATTTTTTGATGAATGACTACATTTATAAGCACAGTTTGCTACATTTATTTTGTCATTTCAAAATTCAAGAGAAGAAAAAAAGAAATCCCAATTTTAAATTAAAGTTATGGTTTTCTAACTAAAACTTTATTTTAATAGTTAAAGTACAGGGGTCTGTCCAAGCCAAATTTACTACCGTTTAACGGTACCTTAACAAATTCAACTTTAGGAAAAACGATAGAATAATTACACAAAATACTTTTTCCTGAAATTTTATTTTTGTGTCGCGTAAGAAACGATAAATCCATATTTTTACTATATTTGTGTTGATTTTTTAATATAATTTTTAATTTTCACAAAATAGGTACCTCTCAGAAAAACCCAGACAGACCCCTGAAGTATTGTTTAAATTCTCTATTTCATCTAGTCTTTAAATTTGAATCATGCATTTGTTTCAAAATGGTGGCTATGCATTCAAAGCCATGTATTATAATGAAAAATTATTTTAGTTAGAGCTTCTAAAATATTGTTACAATATAGTTTTAATATTAAGTTAATTTTGATTAAACATTAATAATTTTTTTAAATCATAAATTAAAGTTCTTACAGTGTATTTGAATAAAAATCAAAAAAATCTGATTTAAATCAAAAAAATCCGATTTAAATCAAAAAAATCTGATTCTTTTGATTTTTTTTAAAAAAATCAAAAAAATCACGAACCCTGCAAATCAGCATAGTTGAATTTATATAAACCTTTATCAGTCTCTAATTCTAACAATAATAGTTATCAGGCTTTGTAGTGGTCCAAAGAAAAAATCAAGACATTTTTCAAAAAAATCATTGTGAAATCAGGAACATTTATCTTTTGGAACATTATATATACCATGTTACTTTAAAAAAAGGCAAACGATGAACTAAAATGTATAATAAGTGTAGTAAAAGCAAATTTTAGCGCAAAAGAATAAAATATACAATTCTTAATTTCAAATTACTTTGTTTATAGCACAAAGTTTTAACAGCTTTCAGTATATTTGCAGAAATTGAAATTACGCCTTAGATTCTAACAATGTGCAGTAATTTTTATTTTATTTTATAGCCATCGTTGCACGGTCAACCCAATTTTGGATTTACGACTACCAATGTTCAACTCTGTAGCTTTGTAATTTCGAACCCAATCCAGAAAACAAGGGAACTCCTGGATCAAGTATTAGGAGAAATTTGCCTTCGAGGAGGACCTTTTGATGGAACTAACATGCATTTGTGTTACACGGAGAGAAAAACCACGAAAACCTCCCATGGTTAGCCTGACAGCAAGGAGACTCAAAGCCATGATCTGTCTATCTCTGAAGATATTTAACGTCACCATTGTGGTCGGTGCGAGCCGGATGCAGAATTCGAATCAACCAGGGATTCAAAGCCGGGTCACCTGGTTGGAAAGCGAGCGATCTATCCCCTGAGCCCTCACTGCATTTATGTGCAGTAATTTTTACTTTAAATTCGTCGTTGAACAGTCGACCCAATTTTTTGAGTTTACGACCACTAATGTTCAACTCCGTAGCCTTGTAGTTTTGAACCAATCCAGAAGACAAGGAAACTCCTAGATCAGTACCCCTCTAAAGGTATGATTTGCTACGGAGGACTTTGTGACTAGACAGATTTAACGTGCATCAGTCACCATTTACTTCTTCAGTTGTAGGGGATCGAACCCACCCCCTCTTGGACAAGGGCACAGCACCCCAACAACCAGATTATCCCGACCTTTGTGTGCAGTAATTGATGATTTCTCATATTCTTGATAAAGGACATATCTGTTGCGTTCCTTAAGTCTAAACTTTAAAGCGTTTGGTATGTCCGATGTAGCCAATGTTGCAATGACAAGAAATATGGTAATGACTTTAAGTTAGAAGCATCACTATAAAAATAATAATTAAAAACTATAATTATGAATATTTCCTGTGACTCTAAGACAGTAAAATGTTTTGTCTTACCTAAAAATACGACTGAAACACTTTCAGGTAAGTATTGAAAGTTGGTTTGTATCAGGATGTGAATTAATAAGATGCATAATGCTGAAAGGAAAGAAGAATAGAATAATTAATAACACTGAATAATAGATAAACACTGAAATTCAAATAATTAAAATATCAGTACCTTTATTCAAGGTTTTATGTACTTGCAACTTAAACACAGTTAAAAAAAACTTATCAAATTTTAAATTATTAATTTCTTTTTAAATTTTCTCCATTGTTCTTTATTGCCTCTTATATATAAATAAAACATATAAATAGATAAACCAGCATAAATAGAAAAAAATAATACATAATAAAAAATCTGAATAACATCATAAAATTATTTTTCAAAGATGTTGAATCTACAAAAATAATTTTATGTAACTGTCAAACAATTTTCCAACAAATGTTTCTGCTTTAATTAGCAAATAATTTCATACAGAAAGAAATTATACAAAAATTTCTGCTTTTCAATTTGAATTGGAGAATTGTTTCAAACATTCAATTACTTTAAAAAAAAAAAAACAATATAACAGGGGTCTGTCCAGGCTGAATTCACTACCGTTTAGCGGTACCCTCCCAAATTCAATTTTAGGTAAAACGGTAGTTTCACAAATTCAATTTTAGGAAAAATGGTAGTTTCACAAAATACTTTTTCTTAAAACTTTATTCTTGTATCCTTTAAGAAACGATAAATCCACATTTTTGTGTTGATTTTTAAATATAATTTTTAATTTTTCACAAATTATGTCTAAATTTTCACAAAATAGTAACTATTTTGTGAAAATTTAGACATAATTTGTGAAAAATTATTACTCTCAAAAAAACCTAGACAGACCCCTGTATAATAAAAACTGTAACAATAAATAATTTTCAAACAACATAATAAATTTTGTTAGTTGGAAACTTCAATAATAATTCAATATTAATTTATTAAATATTTAACAATATATAAAAGCTGAAAGAAAAGTTCTGAGTGGCATCATAAAATTAATCTTTAATCAACAAAAATAGTACCTATTACTTAAATGTTAAAACATTTTCTTACAAATGATTGCATACATAAAGCTTTAATTCTAATAAATAATTAATAATAATAATTAATTGACTTTAAATTTAATACACCCTTGCTTCAAAAAACCATAATATTAAAAGAAAAAATAAGAGTTTAAAGAAAAAAGATTTCACCAGAACAAAAAATGAAAATAAAATATTTCACACATGCTTTTTGATTTTGCAGAAAACTAATCATTAAAATATGAATGCTTTTGAAATTTTAATTTTATATATATATACAACACAAATATACATATTTTAAATATCAGAGTGTTGACTTGCTTTTATTATTTTTCATTGTTTAGTTTGTATAAAAACTGAGATCCTAGAGTTACTATTTAACCTAAACGATTCTTTTCTACTGAAAGACATTACATAACTTTAATCAACACCAAAGAAAAGACATATCCTTCAAATTAACAACTATAACCAAGCCTAAAATGAATAATTCAAAACTTGAATATCTTTAACTTTTAAAACTGAATAGAAACATATTATGAATAAAAATGAATTCTTCTTACCCATAACTATTAATACAAAAAAGATGGCCATACTGGAATGATGTTCTTCCTCTGCTGATCCTTTTTGAGGAAGAACAGCATCAAGAGAGGCTGTAGTGGATGTCGTAAGACTCGTCGTTTGATTAACCGCGTCGGTTTCATTTGCAGGCTCTGGATGAGGACTTGAAGTACTACTTTTCAAAAAAAGAAAAATATATGAAGATAAAATATGCCTACATAAGAATAAAGTAATTAAGAATTCCCATAAACGAAAAGCAAATATTTGTATTAATTTGGCTTTTTTTTAATATAAATTTGATATGATAATTTAATAGAATACATGGGTGCTAATATAACAAAATTTCAAGACTGAACTTATTTTTTTACCCCTCAACACGATCTAGAGCTACTTAGAAAAATTTTCAGAAATTTATAGCTGACTTTCCATAAGAATAAAAGAAAATTTTTTTTCTTCATTTTATTAGTTAATTTTTCACAAAAAAAGATAACCTTGTAAATCTTTTCACTGAATGAAATTGCTGAATTATAACTCACTCACTTTTTTTTCGAAGCCATTCATATTTCTACTCATTTCACACATCATCATTAATGCTTTGGTTTGATCTATATATTTGATATTTAAAAAATAATCATAATTTAACTTTGCCCAGTATCTCATGTTGGAGAAAAAAAATATAAACTCAAGCAGATCCAGATTCAACATTAATTTTGTTTAGACAAGTAGATGCAGAAATTCAGTCAATCCCATTCCTTCAGCATGGTGTGGCATCATTACTTGATCATTTTGCAATAATTATAAAAAACCACAATGTTTTCATAGATGTTGCTGAGCCATGACGGCTCAGGAGATAGAGTATTCACTTTCCAATTAGGTAAACCGGGCTTGAATCCCAGAGAAGGCTGGTTGATACGAATTCTGCATTCGACAAGCACCGACAACAGTGCTGACGTAAAATGGGCTCAGTGGTAGGTGGATCATGAGTTAAGAGCCCCCTTGCCATCAGGTTAAAGGTGAGAGGTTTTAATCTTCATGTAACGAATGGAAAGTAATGTTAGTTCCATCACAAAGTCCTCCACGAAGGCAAACTTCTCCTAATGCTTGATCCAGAAGTTTCCTTGTCTTCTGGATTGATTTCAGAATTACAAGGCTACAGAGTTGAACATTAGTAATCGTAAATGTTAAAAATTGGGCCGGCTATTCAATGATGGTTGTAAAATAAAATGTTTTCCTAAAAAGTACTATTTTCAAATATCTACATGTGTTTTGTTTAAATTTTCAAATTTAAAATCTATTTGGCACTTTGGCGATTGTAGTTGGTGCGACAGGTCACGATACGTAAATATCCTTATGATCTATTTTTTATGATAAAAAATGGTTGTGGCATGTAAAAATCTAATCTTACAAAACCAACTTGATAAAAATTATAATTAATGTTCTATGATCTGATTTACATTTACATTGTGTTTTTCAATATACTATAATTAGTTTTTAAAGCTATATATTTCTCAATACAGTAAAACTTAAAAGTATAATGTAAAGTAATGCAATATTTAAAGAACTACGTCTTCTTCCATTAATATGAAATAGTACCGGGAAACAATTAAGATTTTAAGAAACTTTACATTAGTTTTTAATATATTTTCAATTATATCATAAAGATATATACATACATACATATATATATATTAATATATTTTCAATTATATCATAAAAGATTAATCAGATTTAAATAAATGATTAATATTATCAAACTATTTGACATAGGATAAAAAGAAAAACTAAAATTAAACCTGTTTGATGAAGGTAAATTGTTTGAAAATATTTCATTCAAACTGCTTTTATTTACAACAGAACTTTTACGCAAATCTTTTGCATGATCATCAGCAGTACTTTGTGAAAATGCAAAATCAGTTATGCAAAGAGCGAATGAAATAAATAAAAAATACTTTACAGACAGCATCATAAAATTTTNTTAAACCTGTTTGATGAAGGTAAATTGTTTGAAAATATTTCATTCAAACTGCTTTTATTTACAACAGAACTTTTACGCAAATCTTTTGCATGATCATCAGCAGTACTTTGTGAAAATGCAAAATCAGTTATGCAAACAGCGTATGAAATAAATAAAAAATACTTTAAAGACAGCATCACGAAATTTTTGTTTTTATATTTAATTATATACAGAATTTATATTATAAGGGAGATGACGAATCAACCCATATTGCGTTTTAATTATGTACTACTTTAGAGGACATATGATCTCAGCAGAGCCAGAACATGACATGTTATTAAATGTTTGTTTATGAAAAAGACATCTCGCAGTTGCAGTTAATAAATTGCAGTTAATTTTACTTCATTTTTCTCTTTATAAGCTAAAAGCTGCTTTTCTCTAGAAAAGTATTGTGCTGAAACCATTTAGTGATGCTTGTCTGGTAATTTTTGTTTAATAACAAATTTTCTAAAAAAAATTCGATTTTTAGAAATTGAACCACATGAAAAGAACAATGGCTGACGATAGTGATACAGATGAAAATATTTCAGAAGTTGAGATTGATGACGGCGATGACTCTGATTATGAACTTCCTGATAAAATGACTCTAAAAGCCAAAAAACTCAAGCGATCCCATGGGAAGTGGAAACTATATTACGAAACCCGAGTTTTCAAAAAGGAATGGCTTGAAATATTTCGTTAGTTTCCATAGAACATTTTTTATTTTATTAATATAGCTTATATAGAATACTTATTTAAGAGTTTTAGAGGATTTATATGTTCATTGAAAATATCTCTTAAATGGTCTTAATTATCTTTCGCTCCATGAATTTCTGTATAGTTCATTAATACCGCTGTTATACTAATTTTAGAATTACGGAAGTTTATATATACATATTTAGCTATTTTATTATAATTAGCTATATTAATTTATATCTCGATCCTAAAGATATAAGTAAGCTATTCTACTCTCTTTTGGATAATTTCAATTAACTAATGTTTATGAATACTAACAAAATGAAAAAAAATAATAGTCATGCTGATCCCACTTTATTGTCTAAGACATGTATACTAATTCTTAAATCATAGTAGTTTAAGCAACGAAATTAATAATTTTAGGGGTTTTGAAACATTTATAATTCATTTGTTTAATAGTTTTGCTTAATAAAAATATTATTCATGTACTATATAGGGGATATTTCTTGAGCTGTCACGCCAACTTCAATCGCCAAGATACCAAATAGATTTAAAACTTGCAATGTAAAAAAAAAAATTTCATGTAGATGCTTGCCCATGGGTTGCTATGAGCTATACCTATTGAGTTAGTCCCTTTCAGTGATTATAAATTTTTTTTTTTTTGTTAAATTTCTCATGGGCAGCTGCCAAGACTTGGCGATTATTCTGCCGCAGATCACGATACAGAAATTTTTCCATTACATTTATTCAAAATATTTATTCCAGTACATCTGGAACGACTGTTTTACCGTGTACATATTTATGTGATGACAGGTGTATAAATGCTTTGCAGCCATTTATTCTAATAGCAGACTAAATATTTTTATTTATAACATTTGATTAAAACATATTTTCTTTGACTTTTGAATTGTTAATTAAATTTTGCAGATCTTTTGATTTTTTTATTATTTATATTGAAAATTTAAAAAAAAAAAAAACTGTTTTAGTTAATTTATAAAAAATGTAAGCATTTTCCAGAAAACGAATACTTTATGCATAAATATTATAAGTGGGACTGGATTATGTGTGACAGAGTCCCAATCCCCTACCTTAAAAAAATCATGTAATGTTAAAAAACGTTGCTTATATACTACTTCTCCAGCTAATTCAGATATATTATATTTGTAATCAAAATCAGATCATTAAAATTTATGTTAATTGTCTTCATAATATAATTTAGTCAAGCTGTGAATGTCTTGTGTAATAATTTTATGTAAGTATTTTTCTCTGAGACAAAATAATATATTAAAATACTTTATAAAATAATTGTTTAAAGAAGTGTTGTAGCAAAAATTATGAATCTTCAAATTTAATAATTTTTACCCTGAAGTTGTATTTATTTTACTTATTTTAAAATTTTGTTTTCTTAGTTATCTAAAAATATTAACTGATAAAATATTTTAGAATAATTATTATTATTATGTTTAAATTTTTATTTTATTTTAACGAAATAAAGTTTCTATATTTTGGTTCAATAATCAATTTCAATTTTATATTAATATTTTATTAGTTTTTCATTACTTATAATAATGTTTCAAAGCAGTACATCAAAATACTGTCTAATTTCTTGTTTACTTTCTCTTTAACAGAACAAAAATGTAAACAAGTTAATTTAAATTTTTTCTTCCAAAAATGTTAAGATTTGAGTTTGAGATGAGCAATTCAAATATTTTATAATATCACTATAAAAATGTATCTTTAATGATCTACTTGAAGTAATAACATTTCAAACACCTTTGTTACATTATCTAATCTTTTGATCGAGTCTAAAAGAATTTAAATGTCAAAAAATCTTTGCCATCTAAGCTCTCAATTTCAATTTTTTTTTCTGGAGATTTGTAGCTTCGAATGCCACATCTCTAATGTTCAGTTATTAAAAACAATTTCTTTACAGCATGGTGTGAGGAAGATCCTGATGATGGAAGATTTGCAATCTGCAGAGCATGCAATAAAAGAATTAAAGCCCATAAAGGAATTCTCGAAACCCATCAAAAAACTAAAAAACATCTAAAAAATTTATCTGGTTCTGGTAAGCATAGTATCTAGTCTAAAGTTTTTTAGTTGTTATTTTCATATGTATTTCTCTGATTTTTTTAAAAATAATTATTAATTTCAATTATGCCTGATAAAATAATTAATAAAAATTATAACTTTTTTTTGTAATTTATATGATTTTTGAACTGTTATATCATGATACATTAAACTCCTGATTATTTCCTTTGGGGATAATCCACTTTTCACTTTCCTTTTTTTTTTTACTTTTTTCAGTGATAAAGAATATAGCATTCAGAATTGAAAATAAATAAAATCATAGAGATGGAACTATTCTAAGAGTTTTGAGAATAACATACTAGCAAACATTTATGTTCCTATTCCTAGTGTTCACAATAACTACCTGGCACCGTGCCAAATGTTCACTCTCCGGACTCGGTAAATCTCTAGGTGCCAACTGCTCCATTTTCTGCAAAAGTTTCAATCAATTGGTAGCGAATTAAATATTACAACTCGTTGAATAAGGGTAATTGCACCCACTTTCAAAAGAAGTCACCACAAAATAACTACATCAGACTTCGACATAGAGTAGAGTACGGAATACCTATCCCTAAGGGCTATCTGCCCTTTCACCAAAATTGAATAAAATTAAATAAGGGTAGAGGGAACTAAAGTAAAAGCTATAATAAGTCAAATAATGGGTCTACAATTAAACATTGCAGCTTCAAGTGCAATACCTAAGTAAAAATGGGTATTGATCAGGTAAAAATGGCATTCATAAAGAGCAATACAACGTGAGTCATGGTTTACAGCTGTTGAACTACAAATGCAGAATGAAGTTCAAATTTCAATGAATAGATTCGGCATCTATCAAGGCAGTTTCTTTTCCTGGATTGCATTGGTACTACATAACAAATGAGGTTGGTCCCCATGTAACACCTATACCCATAAAAGATAAAGAATGAAGCAGGGCTTTGAATAATTTATGGGCCATATGCATGGTTTTAGAATTGTTGTCAGTTGTTTATTTTTAGTTTTGTTACTGATAAGGGTTTCTAAAAATTCTATATGTGCAGTTGTACAGTAACTCTTTATAAGAACTTATTCCTGTGTTTCGAAAATTGTTTTGTGCATTATTTTTTCAGTAGTGTAAGAACTCACGAATAAAAAATCTGCTTGTACCTGTTTTATTTTACCTTCCTCTGACACCACGAAACAAAAAACGTTGACAGGCTTTTTCATGCAGAATTTTAAAAAAAATTATAAAAAGTAAACTAATAATAATAGATATTAACATTTATCATTTATATTTTTAAAAAAATTGATCATGTGTGTCTTTTTCAGGCACTTTGCGGATTATCTGCAAATTTACTTATTTGTGCTTCTTGGGTTACACAATTCCAGGGATAACTGGGAGTTTACTGTATTATTATTTTGATGATTATTGTTTCATGATATTTTTGTAGATAGCTAGTTAACTTGTCGTCCTAAAGGTTGATTAAAAAGATTTTGATCAGTAGTTAAAAATAATCATACCATATAGCATGTATGTGATATCCTCACATTTTGATTACTAATATTAATGAATTATTGATCAAAATCTGAGATATCACGTTTAGATCAGTATCAAAGTTTTATTTATATTTCTCCAAGTTTCGTAGGAAAAGGTAAAATTGTACACCTTTTAATATTTTTGAGAAATTTCATCATTTATTAAATTTTTGTTAAAGGAAAATGTTCTAAGAAGGTGAAATTCAGTAAATCTCTCATTCATTTTTTGCATTACATTCTGGAAAATTTGTTACATGATTTTAGAGTTTTGAAATTTGAATATATATGATTTTCTTTCTGCATACTCTTATAAAATAATTAACTTATTTCCTCACTTAATTAAAATGATAAATGTTCTGCAAACACAAAATCTCATTTAGACAAACTTTCTGCAAACAATTTTAATTATTAAATATTACAATAAACCCTTGAAACTAGTTTCAACTCTTTTTTGCCATCATGTAGTTTTATGAAATTTGTTTGACAATCACCAATTTTTTTAAGAACTCTATATTGAATATTATAAATACCAGCATGCCTGAAATTCAATAACGGTGATATAATCGGAAAAAAAGTGTGGCTGTGCGAATCAGAGAACAAAATTCTCATATCAATCTCCGCAAGATTAAGATTTAAGATTGGAGAATTTTGACAGATCTTTATTATTATTATTTTTTTTATGAGTGATACTGAAAAATTTTCTGCAATGTTGAAAATATTGACAGTTGGGTATAGTGGGGAAATTTTGGCAACTTGTTTATAATGAATGAAATTCCACGAATAAAAATTTTTCCACGAACAGTGTTTTAGTATATTATACCTGTTTATTTCTTTCGTAAAAATATCTGTTAGTGAAACAGCACAATAATGTAACTTTAAGCATTTTACAATTAAAGTAACTCATTTTTAAATTTTCAGATATCATAGACTTACATAGTTAAAAATACTTGGTAATGCTTTTTGATCCTCGTGAACGAAATCAAACCAACATATATATGGACCCAATGTGCCCGACATATCTCTATTGATTAAATTGTTGTTTCAAATCTTTGAAAATATGCGTGTAATTTATAAAGTTTTAATCACTTTCTGGTTTAAAAAAAAATTTCATGTTGTGAATTTATTTTATATTTAAAAATATTTTGCAGATGATATTGATGATGACGATGAGCCACGGAAAAGTGACAAAAATGAGCTAAAAAATAATACATCATTTTCCATACCTATGAATGGTCAATCATCTCAACCAGCTATGGAACATGTGAGGAAACTTTTATTTTATTACTTTTATTCAACTTAATTTACTTGCTAGTCTAAAAATAAGTTTTAATCTTTGTTGTTTATTTTTGAATTGACAATTGAATGGGAGATTTGATGATGTGAGAGTTTTTCTTATATTGTATCTACCTATAGGAATTTTTTTTTTTTGTTAGTAAAAAATAAGCTTAACTTTGTTTTAGATTCTTATACTTAGTTGAATTGCTGTTTAGTCATTCCAGATAATTTATATTTTATTAGAAAGATTATTAGAATATTATTTCCCTTATTGTAAAACTTCTTTTAAATAAACTATAAAATATTCGTTGAAATATACAGGACTATATTTTGCAAATTGTGCAATTATAAAATTATATTTCCAATTACAGTAGAGTCCCGATTATCCGAGTTAATGTGGACCATGACTAACTCGGATAACTGAAAAACTCGGTTGAAGCGAAGAGTATAAAAAAAGAAAGAAAAAGAGTTGGTATAAATGTGATATATTTAAGAAATATAAAATTTATACGAGTATACCACACATAATTCCTATTATTATTAAAAAGCTTACTTGAAAGAACTTACAAAGTATACTTTGCGAGAATGAAAGAGTTTTTACTTAAAAAAAGTCCTTAATCGTTTTTTGTTTTACATAACTTTGGTGCTTCTCTGCAGCAATGTTTCACCATTTTTTTGGGATAACGGGAAGGCTGGTGTTGCCTCTTTTTGTTGTTTTATGTATTCAGTAGCATTTTCGACAGCTTTAATTTCATCTATGTGAGAGATTTTTATATGTTGATTTTTATCGTCACTGTCTTCATCATCTTCGCTAGGTTCATTTTCATTATTGACGATATTAACGATCATTTCATGGGATCAAGTTGTTAGATTTTGTTTTCCCGAGTGTTTGGAAGATAAATTTCAGATTTATTTTTCGCTGGTATTTTTAAAGATAAAAAATGAACTAGAACAAAAAAATCCTTAAAATATTTGATAGCTCGGTTAAAGCGGAAACTCGGATGACCGGGGCTCGGATTATTGGGACTCTACTGTATATGACATTTTAAGTCAAATAATAATTAACATAGTAACAGGAATAAAATTTTTCTCGGAGTTGTAAGTTAAGATATATTTTTTTTTTAAAAAAAAAGTAGAGTTTATTGAATTCTATTTCGCAGTTTACCGAAATTTTTCAAGATTCATAAATTAACTTGCATTTTCACAATCATTTGAAACAAAATTTAACAAAAAGGTGTAAAAAAATTCTGGTATTTTTTTTAAACAAAAACAGTTAAATTGTTTTCATTATAATTAGATTTTTTAAAAATCTTAATTGGATGGTTATCTAGCACTGAATATATTTCAAGTTCTTTAATGTTTGTTAGATTATTTTAAGAAATATTTTTATTTATATATTTCAAGGTCAAAAATTTTATTCTGCATAATAAAAAGTTAATTGATACATATCTAACTTTTAAATTTTCTACATTTTAAAATTATAATGCCAATGATATATTTTTAATTTTGAAAAGTCCCATCTTTAATCTGTACAAAGCAGAGAAAAAAAAAAATTCAAAGGATAGAAAGCTATTGAAAATTTGATCTAAACATAAATATTTAATGTCTCTTCTGTTTTTTGTTGTTAAAATATAATTAGAAAAGAAATTTTGGTGTAAATTTTGTAGCATTTTCAATGTTCTGTTTAGGAATAATTTGGTCCATTTAAAGAACCTTCACAAATAATTTTATTTTATGAATGAACCTTTCACAATATTTTTCATTTGAAAAATGGATCCTTTACAAAATACCTTTTTAAACAAGAACCAGTGATGTCATTTATCGATATTCCATAGGCATTAAGGGAATAGATAGAATAAACTTATTGAATATTTAAATGGAAAAAGGTTTTTCTACTTGTGTATCATTTCTTATTCTAAAATCACATTTTTATTTTAGTACATTCAAGTATGATAACTGACATTGATCATGCATCATGTTATAGGAGAATAAGATATTTTTAAATTTATATCTAAATGATGTTTTTAATTGGTTTTTATTTTTGAAATATTGAACTTGTTTTTTTCTATGTTTTTCTATAATAGTCGTTTTAGATAATATCTTGTATTATTTAATCCTATAATCAATTCAATTTACAAAATCAATTTGATACATAAGAGGTAAAAAAAAGCACATTAAAACATTAAATCAAATTGGAAAAGTGCACAAGGCAGCTGGAACCAAATTTGTTTTTTATAAAATAGAAATAAGACATATATAAAATCTTTCCAATTAAAATAAAAATATAATAATAATGAAAATCTGTTTTGCAAACACGCATTTATATTTTCATTTTTATTTTAATTGTAAAGATTTTATATATGTCTTAATCTTGTATTATTTGTAATTCAAAAACTACAAATCTTGGAAAGACAAAATGGTTTTGTGATTCTTGACAAAATCACTAAAGCTTAAACTTATTTTTCCATATTCCCCAAAACAGGATTCTGGAACTCAACTTAAAGCTAATTTTAGGTTCACAAATTTATGAGTCGACTAAGAATTTATAATAATTATTATAAATTCTTAATTATAAAGAATTTATAATAATCATTATTATCCTTCTCATAAAAGTCTAGAAAAATCACTGATATAGTTATTAGTCCAAAACTTATAGGATAATAGCTGCATTAATCTGCATTAATTTTACAGTAGAAATTCTTAATAAAACTAACTTTGAAACATGAAGTTTTGCATTTTATAGAAATTTGTGTCAATTAGATCTTTTCGCACACCATTTAACTTACCTACCACACATACTATGTATATCTAGAACATGTCACTAATAATGTTTTAAAATAATTTTCAAATACAAATACTTTAAACCACAGAAATATGCACTTAAATATTTATTATCTAGAGAAAAAAAATTAAAATTATCAGGATCTTTCCAACAAACAACCAACAAATCTATCAATTTTGGTTTACTTTAGAGATTGTAAAGTTTTGTGAAAAGTTGTAGACCTGTTAGCCGTCTAGGACATTACCGGGGTGAACCATGAGGAGCTAAATCCGAGTTTGATGGCGAAGTTTCGGCTATCTGTGTGACACCGGAGCAGCTTGTCCCCAGACACCTTTATAATTAGGTGATTATCCTATCTGACTCCAAAGAGGCTGTTGGATCTAGGGAGATACCCATCTGTAAAATTGTCCTAGATTGGAGAATTTGAGGACCGAGGGCGGACAAATCACACCCGAATGGATTCTAGGACACTGCGATATTCATGGCAATGAACAAGCAAATATGTTGCCCAAGAAAGGCTCTCAAGTAATTCAACAACCCAACACTTCTTGCTCTTTCCATTCCACAAAACTTTATGTCAAGAATCTAATAAGACAAAATTGGAAAGCCTTGCTCCCTTCTTGTGTTTCTTCAAGAAGTTGGAGGAATAGCTTAGACCAAAATATTTCAGATTAGCCCTGTGAAAAGGCTGTTGAGAAATTTAGAATCGCGGTAGGCCAATACTGTCAGACGAGTCACCTTCACCAAATTGGCGTTTTTACGCATCCTAATTGCCCACTTTGTGGAAGAGACAAAATCAAGGACTGGAACCATTTGTTGGGATGCACGGCTCTGCCTGGGGGCTCTGGGGTGAAGCGATACTAGAGTGGTCGACATCTGCTGATGGGACATTGACTTTTTTCTCTTATGTTCTTTTTTATTCCTGTTCTTTGTTAATCTTATAATAGTTTGTAATTTCCCTTTGCTATTGGAAATATAAAAAAAAAGGTTTACTCTAGAAATTGTAAAGTTAATACAGTTTGTTGAGTGTGCCAATGCTTCATAGATCTTCTACTGTTATCAGATCTGTATGCCATTCTATTAATTAAATTTTTTCTTCTTCTTAATTATTAGATTCTGACTGAGGATACGTTCAGTTTCTTCTCTGAATCTCCAATCGATGCTCAGCATCAGGCTATGACAAATCTCATCGACAAACTAGTGGAGAGATACCACGATAAACGGCTTGAAAACCTCAAGGTACAAAATGATTCTATGCTTCAACTGAATGCTGAGAAAGCTAACTTAAAACGAGCCCAAAAGCAAAGAGAAATTGAACTGCGAATGGAGAGAGAAGCGCATAAAAGAGAGGTCGAGGAAGTGAAGCTGAAACTAATGCAGCAGCAACACGAAAGTCGAATAAATGCTATGGAAATTGAAAGGGATGCAAAGCTAAGAGCTGTTGAACAGGAACTTATGTTTGCAAGGCAGGAATATGAAAAGAAAATGAAGCTTTTAGATGTACAGTTGTCATGTATGAAATAATACATATTTATTTTTAAGGTTCAGATATTTTTGTAAAATATGACGGCTATTGTAAAATTTGCTTGTGATTTTAAATACATTATCTGTGTTGATAAACTCGACATGTAGATTATCGGTGCTTGATTTTGGTTTATTTAAAAAAAAAAAAGATTAGAGAAAATTTTTTTTTAATGATTATAAAAATAAATGATCTTGTTTTGTAACTTTGCCTCTATGCTTTTGAAATTACAAAGCAATGAATATATATACATAAAATTAGTATGAAACAGTGTACTCTATGACTTAATGAAAGCATAAATATGACAGAGGTGGCTAAATACAATACCATTTTTGCATTTACTGAAGCTAACTGTTTGCACAATAATGCAAATTATTATATTTAGACGTTTATTGAACAATTTTGTTTATGTGCAGGTCTAAAAAAATGTTTTTTGGATTATTTTTATTTTTTGTGTTGCTTTTCTCAAATGCACAGTGCTTAATATTTTTAATAAGTTTACTTTACTTTAAACATCTAACTTTATAACTATGAAAAATGTTACTTGTAACTTTGAAATGATCAAAGCAATTATTATTCATTACGCTGCGAAGTTAATACCTTTTTCTTACCTTTTCTGTATCTGTAGATACTTTGCAACAAAAACTGATAGAATGTGTTTAAAAAATAAGAAATTTTAATTAAAGTAAATGTATACAAAAATATTACTTTACCTTTGTTTCCATTAGAATTTGTTATAAATCATAAAATATGCAGCTGCATTTGAATTGTTACAAAACTTTGTCTCACTTATTATGCCTGCACTTCATTAGTATTAATTTATAATTTTGTTCATTTTAACTGTCATCATCATTCAATTGTGAGCTATCACCTGTACTGTTACAAAAAAAAAATGCATTTACCTCTTACATTAAAAAATAAATTCATCTGTGTATCTATTTTAATAAAGTGCTGCATAACAATATCTTTGCTGTATGTTTTTCTTTAAAATTTATTTAAGGTATCAATATTGCTAATATATACTTATTGATATTCAATATTAGTGTCGCTATTGTAAAAAAAAAATATTTTAATTATTTACAGACTATTGTTGCTTAACATTTACAAATCCATTGCATAAAACATGTTAAAACTCAGAAAAGTATTAAATTGTGATCTAGCATCATAAGGAATCAATTCCTTCTTAAAAATTAGTGAATAAAATTCTCGAATTTGAAAAGGATGCAGATGGGCATCACAATGTTTTTATCACAAAATAAATTAAAATATAACAGAAATGTTAGTTTGTTAACTTTTTCAAAACTACTTTAAATACATTTTTAAATTTGTTTTTAATCTCCCACTTTTTGTTCTGACATTTACATTTGAAAAAAATAAGAAAATATGCATATATGTTTTTTATTTATTTTTTTCTTCATAAATAAGCAGTTAGTGCAAGTTTCTTTCCTTTAAAAAAAATATCACAATTATAATTAAAGTCTAGATTACCTTGAACTGCTGACGGATAAATTATTTATACTCTGTATTTTTCCTACAAACAAGGGAATTTTCATTTATTTATTTGCTATCAAAAATAGCTTATAAATAATTTTTTGAACAGTAAAACTTTAGTTAATAACCTTTAAAACGTTGAAATAATGTATTAACTGAAAGTAACTTTTTCAAATTTGCATGATAGAAGACAATTGTTTTAATTTAACTTTTCATTTATGCAGGATAATTTATTCTTTTATTCCAATAAAACTGCTTTACAAAATTACTTTTCTCTACTAGAGTATTTCTTTTCATTATTGTTTTCACCCCACAGTGTACTAATTTTAAAGATTGTTGTTCCCAGTAGAACACTGAAGTCAAGCATCACTGGCTCTGATCAGTAAGCGGGTGGGTGACCACTTTGATCAGTAGGGACAGAGGGCACACAGTATCGGTCCTTGTTAAACTGTCTAACTTAAAGTGCTTGACTTCGTGCTCAGATCGTCAGGCTACCAAAGCTGGGGAGCCATCTCGTCTGCAGAGGATCAAAATTGCAATAGCATATATTCGGATCATCCTTAGGGATGATTCCCAGACCGTTGCCAATAGCCCATTGTGCAGCTCTCGTGCGACATAGATGAGATACCTACCTACCATTATCGCATTCAAAAGCAGTTTACTTAATTTGAGCTGATTTATCTGAACATGATGATTGAACAAAAGTATTAGAGGTGTCAGCGATAATTAAATTAAAAATATAAATTTTATCAGGAACACTAAAAATTGTTTTCATCACTTTGAATCCAAATATAAAAGTGTCAATTTTTCAATATATAAAGCACTTATTTGTCACAGAAACAATGTGAAAAAATTAATAAAAAAGACCAAGTTTATAAATAATAATAAAAAATCCATTAATTAAGGGGATGCACGGCTCTGCCTGGGGGCTCTGNATGATGATTAAACAAAAGTATTAGAGGTGTCAGCGATAATTAAATTAAAAATATACATATTATCAGGAACATTAAAAATTGTTTTCATCACTTTGAATCCAAATATAAAAGTGTCAATTTTTCAATATGTAAAGCACTTACTTGTCACAGAAACAATGTAAAAAAAATTAATAAAAAAGACCAAGTTTATAAATAATAATAAAAAATCCATTAATTAAGATAGCGGAAAGGATTTTTTTTTGTAATTGATATTGTGCAAAATAGAAGTTAATGTTTAAATATTTATGTTATGCATTAGAAAGTGAACAATGGTGCAGAGAAAAAAAAATATTTTTAGATTTATCAATAAGTTAATATTTTTTGAATTCGATTTTCTGTTGAGGGCTTCCTGTACAATTTATTGATTATTGCAAGTTTTAAAACAATCAAAATACGTAAAAATTTAAAAATATTTCATAAGCTTATATGCAATGAATGATATGTCAAATCTCAGACATAATACCTACCCATTATTTTAGTATGCTAAAAAAATTGTTTGCTCGCCTTACAAAATGAAATAAAAATTTTATAACACTAAAATATTTATTTTGGTGAGTACCAGATTTTTCTACAAATGAAATTTTAATGCCATTAGCATAAAATATTGTGAGATGAATACAATTTTAAGGATACAATACAATTTTAAGGATTTTAAAATACAAGGAATCTTATTTGCATAACTTTATTCGAAATTGTTCTTTGTATAGGAATTCTTGACAATTTTCTTTAGAAAAAAAAAATATCTGAAAAATACATTTTAACACTGGCCTTGAGTAAAACCTTGGTTACTGTCCAGCCAGATAACTAAATATTGCAGTTGTTTAAACAAACAACGAAAAGGTGATTCACTTTTGGAGCAACTGAATATTTTTTCTTTTATTATATTGCATTGCTAGATATTTCCATGATTGATTTTCTGCAAAAGTGTAAACTTCAAATATTTTAAGAAATAAGACTTGTTATTTTAAACTGAAACTGAAAGCAAAGACGTATTCGTGTATGCCTTTGAGGAAATTGAAAGGTGGATTTTCATTAGAATGACATAATTAGAAATTAGCTATACTGCGCCAAACGTACTGATTTTTGCTTAAAGACTTTACGAATTATCGGTCGAGTGAAAAACTGGAGTATATACAACATATCTTTAATGGACTCTAGTCTATGGGAGTCCTATATTTGTCCTATATTAAAGACCGAAAGGAAAGATGTCTAACAATCTGGAAATTTCTTTTTACTGCTTGCAATGTTTTCGAGAGTGAAAAAAGTCGAAGTTGAATGAGAATCGGATGCGAATGAGCGGGTAAAAATCAGTCACCGCGTTAAATTCGCGAATCCGGCTCTCAATAGCACGCTATACTTTTCCGCTTTCAAAAACCTCTATGCAGTGAAAAGGACCTTTAACTGAATTTATTTTCCAAAAAAATTAATTCCAAGTATGATTGTATAGAATGTATGATTGATCCTGGTAGAACACCAAAGTCAAGCATTATTAGCCGCTGTCATTAAGCTGATGGGTGACTAACTTAGATTAGCCTGCGTAGGGACCAAGGATGCACGGTATCGTTTCTCGTTAAACTGTTCTACTGTAAAGTGCTTGACTTCCCATGCAAGCTATCAAAGCGGAGGAGCCATCCCCTTTGCAGAGGATCAAAATTGTGATAGCACAACTTAACAAGTACCTACTTACCAAGTATGTTTTGGAACAATTATTCAAAGATAGGTAGGTAGTTACTTCCTTTACGCTACATTAGAGCTGCACAATGAGCTATTGGCGACGGTTTGGGAAATATCCCTGAGGATGATTCTGACCCTCTGCAGAGGGAATGCCTCTTCTTCTGTGGTAGCCCGACGATCTGCATGCGAGCACTTTACGGTAGAAGTGTTTTACGAGGACCGATATTGCATACTCTTGATCTTAACGCAGGGTGATCAAAATGATTATCCACTCACTTATTGATTACACTTAGCGATGTTTGACTTCGACATTCCTACTGGAATTCAGGTCTTTGTATTTAGTCCTCTGAGGGACATTATTGAAAGAAATAAGCAGCTGGAAACAGCTCTTTACATAATTTAACTGTAACTGGGCACTTAATGCGTGTTTGTTCTAATTTACGTTCTGTTTTATTTACCGGTAATAAAAATTTAACTTAAAATTTTCCATATAATACTTTTTTTCTCTTTTTCTAATATGGTTAAATTCTTTCATTTTCTGAAATGCTGGATTTTAGTTCTTGTTGTTAGTTTAATAATGCATTTGTGATTGAAATCATGTAACATTGTGTCTCTTAATGTATTACTTGTGGTCAAAAACTACATTCTTCTATATATGTATTTCTTGAAGAGTATACAGCTCATAGATATAATCTTTCTCGCATAATTGCTTCTTATCAAAGTCATTCTATAATCATTTAGATTTGCCTTGCTCTAATGTAACAATATAACATAGCAACACTATTTCAGGGTGGTAAAAAATTAAGTCAGGTTTTCTAATTTTTCATCACTAATCTGCAGTTTCTTAAATAATATATCAATTTCAAGCAGTAAATCTGATTAATTTAATGATGAGGCAACTATATAAGCTAAATAATACGTATTGATGTGACATTTATACTAAATTGAGAGTTTGTGCTTATGAGTACATATGAAGTATTTCGGTAATAGTTTACAATAGAATGCCCTTATTTGAAAAATTTTTTATGCTTCTGCAGACAGAAGTTTAAAATATTTTGAAGTGAGATTTCACAATAAAAATCAAAGGAAAAATTGACAATTTTGTATACAATAAAAGCTTCAAGTTACATTACTAGATTCTGAGGGCACTCTATCTAACATTTCAATTACCTCCACGCATTTGCGAAGAAAAGTTAGGTTGAGATATAACAATTATAATATTCAGTTTTTGTTTTAAAATTTTGTGTCAGAAGTTTTTTGTTTTCATGTATATTTGTTTTGCAAAATTGAGATTTTATGATTATATTTTTGCTGAATGCAATTGAGCATGTGATAATTCTAATTTACTTAAACACATGATATTCCAAAAGTATTTTAATTTCTGTTTGTGCAAGGTTTTTTTCTACTTTGTGGTGGCTATCATACCTATCTATAAATAAAATTTATTAAATAAAAATCTTTGAATAAAAATCATTAAATAAAATTTGTTACTGTTTTTAGAATATTTGTTTTATATTCATGTGATGATTGTGGTTAAAATTTTTAAATTATATAGATATTTATATACAAATATTATAATGCGTTTAAATGTGAAAATTTTTCATTTTACTATTCACAGAGTACTAAATCTGAACCCATTGACATAACACACACTTACACAATTAAATTGTTGAAATCTGAAAATCTAAAAAAGTCTGACAAGGGAAACTAGGGAAGTGTGACTCGCCAAATTTGAAATAAACTAGTGGGATGTATGCCTTATGAGGAATGATTTTAGGGGGCAACATTTGTTTCGACCCATAGAAGGTCCTGTGTGAGATAAAAAATAATTCAATGTATAGAAAAATCGGTATTTTATTACTTCAATGCAAACTGTTAGTTATTGTAATTGTCTCATACTCCAATAAATTTGTAATTAATTGGTTAGTTAATTAATTTGCTAATTAATAAATTAATTAGAAAATTAATTAATTAATTTTTAATTAATTAATTTATTTAAACTTACATACTCCAATTAATTTGGAAAATTTTTTGAAAAAAAAATTTAAAAAATTTAATGTCAATTTTCTTTTAAAAATTAACCTAACAGGTTTTTCTGAAAAACTACTGATATATAAAATTTTTGAAATCAATTTTGACAATAAATATGCATTATATAGTAGAGATAATTACAATAGAGATATTTACAGTAACTAATAGTCTGCATTGAAGTAATAAAATACCGATTTTTCTATGCATTGAATTATTTTTTATCTCTCATAGGACCTTCTATGGGCTGAAACGAATGTTGCTCCCTAAAATTATTCCTCATAAGGCATACATCTCACTAATTTATTTCAAAATTGGCGAGTCACACTTCCCTAGTTTCCCTTGTGAGTAACATTGGTAGCTTGAACATTTTTATTCCTCTTATTTTTTTATTATTTATTAATGTTATAAATAATTAAGAGGCAAGTTAGTGACCCAGAAAAATCTCTGAAAAATACTTATTGGTGTTAATACTTATTTGTATTTATACTTATTTATAATAAGTTTTACTTATTGGTATTAACAAACCTTTTTAAAGCTTTACTTTTAACTCATAAGCCATAGGTTCCTTGCGATTTAATAGTAATTTTGCATGAAAATGACTCAAAATATTTATTACATATTTTTTGAATCAAAAAATTTTTTTAATTTATATTCACCATATTAACAACGTTTTTAGTGTTAGTTATAAAAGTATTTTTTCTTTAGAATTCTTTTTAAAGATGAGGAATTTTTTAAACTCAAGAATTTGATTTGTAGGTGTATCAGTATGTGACTATGTATCTTTATATTATAATGCAATAAGAAATTATGTAGAAATACTACTGATTTTTTTTCTTTTTTTTTGATATTGATGTATATAGACTTTAAAAATTGGCATGTTTTTAAGATTTTATTGCTGTTTTTTTTTTAAACTGCATAGTTAATCTGATGTGTTATTAATTAGTCTATTGTGTTAATGTATCCCCAAAAATGTATATATATACAGTAGGGAACCGATTATCCGGAACGATCGGGACCATCGTTATTCCGGGTAACTGATTTTTCCGGTTTTCTGAATCGCTACAAAGAGCCATTTTTTATTGTTAAACCCAATTAAAAAAAATGTTTAGAAATATTCTTAAAAAGAAGAAAAAATAATGAACACTAATGATTATTTCCAAAATGATGGTAAGGTAAACATCTTTAAAAAAAGAAAGAAAAATCCTAAAATCTTATGAGGAAAAAAAAAATTTTGTTTTTAAATATTGCNATATATATATATATATATATATATATATATATAAAGTATAACTTCTATACATATAGTTGTATACAATATGCTTATATTTTATATGATAATTTATCTTCCCATTTCAGATCAAAGATGAAAATTGAAGAAGTTCGTAGTACAACAAAAGCTCAACGTGTGGCAGCTCATAGTCATATAAAAGGATTGGGCCTTGATGATAATGGCCATGCTATTGATATTGCTGCTGGTCTTGTTGGACAAGGAGGAGCCAGAGAAGTATTGAAATATTTTTTAAAAATTCTTAATTTGCTTTTATTTCCTGAATCCTTCAGATTTGTATTCAGATTGTAGTGTTACAATGGAAAATAAGACGTGAGTTCCATAAATTTATTTCAAAACTAATACAGAAATAGATTGAAAAACAGAATCTTTATAAAAAAATCCATAAGGGCTGAATTTCAAACTATAGCTAGAGACAGTTTTTAAATACATCTGATCTAAGCTCTGTTTTGCTAAACTATGCTTGTTACGTTACTAGCTCTTTATCTTTCTGAATCCAATTTGTCATAATCTTGTTAAATAAATTATTTTAATTACGTTAATGCGTAAGATTCTATTATAAAGTGAGACAGTCAGATATAAATAATTAAAAAATTTAATTTGTATATTAAATTTCAATTATAGTGTAAGCATATAAATTTTATCTTTCAGTTTAAGCATAATTTAAATTTGTAATGAATTTTGTTCCTGTATCTCGATCAATTGTAATCTTTAAGTGAACTTCATTTTGTATGTTTCCTTAAGTTTGCTACTAAACTTGATTATAGATTTCCCTAAAATAATATTAGACACTTTCAGTTTTTATCATTTTTTTAAATTTCTCTAGAAATTAAGAGGGGTTATTTTATAACTTTAGCAATGTTTTGAGTTCTGTGATTTCTCATACTTCTCTTCTCAGCAATAAATTAAGAACTAAAAAATGTTTTTTTTAACTCTTTATGTCAGAAATAGTGCAATAAGTTTTTAACTTGTATCAATTGCTTTGGTAATTTTATGAAATAACAGCATGAAATTTGTTAACCTAACTTAAATATTAATGGAGTTATGGAAATTTCTATGAAAATTTTTTTTTAGCCGTAAGTTTAAGCATTCAATAAAATTAAACACATTTTTGGAGCAATTCTAATTAATAATAGTTATTTTAAAACTTGAAGAAAAAAAAAATCGTTAGAAACTGCACAAGGTGAGAGCATTTAGGATAGTTCTTTTATACTGTACTTGCGCAGAAAACATTAAAAAAAAAATTTCTTCATAATTTTCTTGTGAATCGTACTAAGTAACAAATGAAAAATGTCTGTTTTGAAATTTGGAAGACAATGTTTAATATTGCAAATTTCATTTTGTACTGTTAAACAAGATTTATTAAAAATGGTATCAGCATAATGGAATCATCCCCCACAAAAGCATGTTTTTCCCCCATGTTTTCTTTCCATATAACATCATATTTTGTTGTATGGATGATTGTAATGTGTTATAATTTATAATTAAATTTTGTATTACAATACAGAATAAAATTTGGGGGAAACCTTTTTATTCTTCAGAGCTTTCTTTCAAATTTTACATAAACTACTTAGAAAATTGCTTGCACCATTTTAAATTTTCAATCTGTAATCAATTGAAATTTCTCTAAATTAAATTTAAAACTTTTGATATATTTTATGGTGATATTTTATTACTTTCTGTTAATTACAGGCAGCAGGGATTGTTGTTGACCTAATAAATTCTAAGAGAATGGCTGGCCGTGCTCTTTTAATGGCAGGCCCGCCTGGTACTGGAAAGGTAAGGTATCTCTATTATTTTTTTCTTGTATAAAATATTAAGATATTAAAAATAAACCCTGTAGTTTAGAGCTAAAAAACTATTCATTGTATTTTAGAATTTTGTTAAATTCAAACCATTAGTTTGCTATTATTGTCAGTGGGCATATTTAATTTATAAATATCAATCTCAGTCGTGGTGGCTCAGGTGATAGAGCTCTTGCCTCCCATTGAGGTGACCCTGCTTCGATCCTAGTGATAGCTGGTCGATTCAAATTCCTCACCAGGCTTGCACCGACCACAGTGCTGACATAAAAATATCCCTCACTGGTAGATGGATCATGGGTTAGAGTCCCCTTTCTGTCAAGCTAACCGTGGGAGGTTTTCCTCTCCATGTAACGCAAAATGCGGGTTAATTTAATCAAAAACTCCTCCACTAAGGCAAATTTCTCCCAATACTTGATTCTGGAGTACCCTTTTTTTTTGGATTAGGTTCAAAATTACAAGGCATCCAAGTTAAGCATTAGTAGCCGTAAGCCCTAAATAGGGTCGGCTGTTCAACGACTGTTATAAAAATAAGATACCAATCTCAATGTTACAGGCATGTGTAATATTTTTATTCTTCTATTTACAGACAGCAATTGCTCTTGCTATTGCTCAAGAACTGGGATCCAAAGTTCCATTTTGCCCAATGGTGGGAAGTGAGGTGTATTCCTCAGAAATAAAGAAAACAGAAGTGCTCATGGAGAATTTCCGTCGTGCTATTGGTACTTAAATTTTGTATTATTTTTTATTGCAGTTTATTGTTATTTTATAAATTCTTAATCTATATATTCAGCTGCTCCCTGTAAATATATCTAGGCAAATCATTTTTAATTTTTATTTAGCTGTTAAGGAATTTAAAAAGTTAGTGTAATGGTTGGGAGACGAGACCAAACTTGCTTTGTCCTTAGTAAAAATAAACATAAACTTTTAAAAAGACCAATCTCTACTAAGTCAACTCTTAGCAGTCTATGTGATTTAATTTTTAAAAGAGAATTTTGATTTTATGATTAAATTATAGATTTCTTTTTCATTTGTAAAGTGGTGCAACTGATAAGTACTTAAAATATTAGATTTTTTTTAGTTTCAAGCTTATGAACTTATTTCAGGCTTATTTTTGAGTTTCAGGCTTTTTTCTTGAACTGTAAATCTAGAAATTAGTTATAATTTTAAATATGTACCATACTTAATACAATAGAGATTCAATTATCCGGGATGCTCGTGATCTCCGCTGTCCTAGGTGTCGGAATTTCCTGGTTTTAAAAGTTAAAAAAGTGTCGTTCGTCAATGTTTTATTGAACCTACATTACAATAGAAAGGAGTAACACATTTTATAAAAAAAAAAGGCTCCTCTAAATTATATAATAGTAAAAAAACAACATTTAAAAGAATAAAAACATTTACAAGTTTAAAAAATACAAAATTAACATATTTACTTTTTGAAGATAAATTAAAATTTTTTTTATATGTTGTTCCCTTTGTTGGTAACTTACGTAATTTTTTTATCACTTAGGAAATTACTGTAATAAAAAACTATTGATTTTGTTAAGTATAGTAAATTTAGATACTTTTTAAAAAAATATTTTTTATTTATACTGCTATTAGATAACACATTATCGAAGAATATTAAAAATTAGTAGCATGTTTTCCATGTTTTGGTGCTGTAAAGTCAAAGCAGTTTTTCTTTTACTTCTACATCTTAATGGGTTTTAAGCATAGTTTTGTACTAATTGTTTTGGCTATTGTTGCTATTATTTTATTGTTTGTAATGTTTTATTTAGTTTTAGTCTGACAATTGATGATAAAAAAAGTAATAATAATTTTATAAATATAGACGTTATTTTTACAGATTTATATTTATGATAATCTTTTATAAATTTAGGTTTAAGAATTAAAGAAGTCAAAGAAATTTATGAAGGAGAAGTCACTGAGATTAGTCCTGTTGAAAGTGAGAACCCACTTGGAGGTCAGTAACCACAGTGAAAAGATATTAATGAAACAAAAAAGGGAAAACATTTAAATATCTAAGTTAAGGAACATGTAATAGTTAATTGTAGGTATAATTTATTCTGCCTGACCTTATACAGTAAAAAGTCCCGTATTTGGAATTGACAATTTCAGAAAATAGATTGTTTGAGATCTTTAAGGTAAGCAAAGATCAAAACATACATTATCCATTAAAAAAAAGATAATGAACATCAATTTTTATACATTAATGTATTGTTATTAGTTAAATGGCATTAAATTAACTAAAGAATGTTTAGTATGATTAAATAAATGTCACTAGTAAAATATTTGAGAGAAGGAAAAAGTGTGTATTGAGGATAAATGTAACTTGATCTTTCATAAATAAAGGCAACCCCCCCTTCATTTGATGCAACTATTAGCAACACAGATATTTAGATAAAAAGTAGCCTTAAAAGCCAAGCTTTATATTGGAAAGGGAAAAAAAAGGAAAGAAATAATAGAGTTGCCACTCCACAGGGAGAATAGGGAAAACCTGGAAAATACAAGGAATTTAAAAACCACCAAAAATAACAAGAAAAAGGCAGGGTATTTTGAGTTTTTCCTTACAAACTGGGAAAGTACAGGGAATTTTCTTTCTTATTTTTATCTTTTAAAAGTGGTGACCACTCAAACCGCAATCTATGGGATATGTAAAGATATTTCAGCTATACTAAACTATTTCATTTGCTATCGCATTATTTGTTTTAAGTATGTTAAGCTGTTCCTTATTTTTGTTTACCCAGCAACTAGTATAGGTCATTCAATAGCACAGTGATTGTGTGCTTCCTCTTAATATAATGTGTATAATATGTACAGGGAAAGCACTGGGAATTTTTTACATTCCAGATTTGAGTTACAACCCTGTTATATTGGGGTGGGTAGAAGTTAAGATTAATAGTGTTTTTTTTTCTTTTCTAACTAAGTAGGTATGTTTTTTTACGTGTTTTGAAAAAAAAAATCAATTATTGAATTAATAAATCAAAAGATAAAAAAAATTAAAATAAAATAATAATAAGAAAAATTGCTTTCATTGCTGATTTTTCTAGAAATGATGATTCACCATAAGTTATTTTAAATTTATAGATCAATTTTACTGAATTGTGTATGCATTTAATAAGTAGTGTGTTCTATGAAAGTAGTGTACCATTATTTTTTTTTATCTACATTGTAAAATTAAATCTAGTTATTATCTTAAATAACTAATACATAATTTTAGGGTATGGAAAAACAACTACTCATGTTGCTGTTGGATTGAAAACAGCTAAAGGTTCTAAAAAACTAAAACTTGATCCGACTGTTTTTGAGAGCATACAGAAAGAAAAAGTTGTCGTAGGAGATGTTATTTACATTGAGGCTAACAGTGGAGCTGTTAAGGTAAGTCTTTAACAGCAAAAATAAAAGTTTTATTAATGTGACCGGACAAAGATAATTTTTTTGTCTTACACATTTTCATTTATTTGTCGATTGTTTTCATTACTGAATTTCAGTATGCCAATTGTTTTATTTATTTGTTATTACCTAAAAAATTCGTACTACATAAAAATTTTGCATTAAAATGAAATTGATTTGTGAAGCATTTAAAAAGCAATTTCTAACTACAAAGTAATTTGTACTTAAAAACATTAATATTTACTTAAAAGTTTTTCTCTTTATATAAAGTTTTTGATTCTTTTTTTAAATACTATTTTTTGATTTGTAAAACTGTTACAATTATAAATTAGTCTTAGAAAATAGCAATATTTATCAAAAACAGTAACTGCAATTGTGCCAGCCCATTGATTTCACTTTCATGTGTAGGAGTAGTTTGGCAAAGTGTGTGTATTTAAATCTAGAAATATGTCTGCAATCTTGTAATAACTGTCCAGATGTTTCATTTTGGTTAACTTAGGTAATGTGACTGAGTGTGATAATTTGATAAAATACTTATTTTCTTCAAAAATTTTATCAAGATTAACCTATAACTTACTTGTCAATAAAATTATAATATCAATTAAGTTTTGTATTGTATGGATACAGCTCTTATTTATCTTAAAAAGGATTCTCTTTAGAAAGAAAAAGGATTCTCTCTTGTTAACCTGTGGAAAATTATGTAAATTCCTTCAAATAATTAATATTCTAGGTTTCATTTTATTCATTGAAACTAGTAAACAAGTTTTTAATTTTAAGGTTAGAAGTATTTTGAAATTTGAAAAAATTGCCTAAGTTTAGACGTAAGAATGTTTAGAATGTTTATTTTCCTAATTAGAATAATATTACAACCATACTATTTAGGCAGCATCACTTTTTTCTATTTTACTTAAACGCTTTAGTTAAGTGTTTATTTATTTATTTTTAAGGTTGTGAAATTATATTGTATGCTTTATAAAATTGTATGTATTTTGAGATTTAAAAAAAAGTTGGTTAATTTGAGAGAAAGAATGCCTTAAATGTTTCTAATTAGAATAATCTTACAACCATATTATTTAGATAGTATCACTTCTACTTTATTTTAATGTTTCAGTTAAGCTATTTATTTACTTAATTCAATATTTCAGAGACAAGGGCGCTGTGATGCTTATGCAACAGAATTTGACTTGGAGGTAAGACTTTTTTTATACTTATTATAAACCTCTGAAAGTCTTTTAAATAAAGTAAAAATTAAATTCTTGGATTGCTCTGCTCCTTTTCTCTATTAATTTCGTAAATGAAATGAAATGTCATGTAACATTTTTTTATTGCTCTGTGTTAAATTGTTTTGCATATTATGTTTTTTTTTAAAAAAAATGTCTAGGTCTGATTTTTTTTCCTCTTTGTAATTTATCTACATGACTGGTATCTATTTAATTTGGAAACTGTGAATGCGTTCGGTACTGTAAAGATTCCAATTAAATCATGTAAATTTACTAGGAAAGTATTTTTGAAGGAGTTTTTGAAATTCAGAGAAAAATATTTCTATGTTTGATCATTATTGAATATAGTAAGTGGAGGGGGAAGAGATCTTTTTATTTATAGCAAATACGATTGGTAAGCATGATATACAGTAGAGAACCGATTATCCGGAACGATCGGGACCATCACGATTCCGGATAACTGATTTTTCCGGTTTTCTGAATCGCTACAAAATGCGGTTTTTTTAATGTTTATAAAACGAAACTAAAAAATTATTTTGAAATAGTTTCAGAAATATTAAAAAATGATAAATAATAATACGCTTAAGTTTAAATAAGGAAAGAAATTATGAAATAAAAATTATATACAGGCTTATATATGTTATTAATGTTATTATTAACATTAATAACATATATAAGCTATTTGTGCATATGTGAGATTCGTCTACAAACGGCTTTTGATCCGTCCTCTAAATCAGTTCTTTCGTCAACTCGATACGCCGTATGCTCTAAATAACAAAATGGGCTCAACATCTTGCAGGAAAAAAAAAAAATTTAATGGAAGAAAATTAATTTCCGGTTCCGAATTTTATTCCGGTTATCTGGTTTTCCGGTTTTCTGATTTCCGGATAAGAGGTTCTGCACTGTAATACAATTCAGAACATATGTCTCCAAAAAATTTTGTATTATGACTAAAAATTATTTTAGTCTTAATAACTGAAGTAATGAGATTTTAAATTCATTTAAATTATATTTTGGCAGGCTGAAGAATATGTACCTCTTCCTAAAGGTGATGTCCATAAAAAGAAAGAAATAGTACAAGATGTGACTCTACATGATTTAGATGTAGCAAATGCCAGACCTCAAGGAGGCCAAGATATTTTATCCATAATGAGCATGTTAATTAAACCTAAAAAAACAGAAATCACAGGTAATAACATATTTACTTTATTAAAAATGCTATGTGAAAAGCTTGCATAAATTAACTTAACAAATATTGACTTTCTTAAACTGTGGTATATAGTTTAAATGTTTTTACTTTTTGAACCTATATTGTGTATATGTGCTATGATATAGGAATTCTGCTATGTTAAATTTTTCTACTGGGCACTTAAAATTTGCTTCTCCTATTTAAAAAAGAAAAGTGACTGCTTATTTTAAGTTTGAGAATTAGTTAATGAAAAAATTTAAATTAAAATAATATAAATAGCTTAACATATTAAATAACAGTTAATATATTAAATAATAGTCTTAATAGCATATTAAATAACAGTTTAACATTATCTTAACATATTAAGTAACAGTTTTAAACTCTTCCAATTGGAATTACATATTCCTCAAGCTTGAGATTTCTTTTACTTCTAATCTGAGGTCTATTGTGATCATATTACATGCATTTTTTAAAAATAAATTGTTAAAAAAATTTACTTTTGGGTACATTTGTTTTATATTAACAGGGCAAGATATGACTTGGCAGCATATAATATGTTAGTTCCGATTCAGAATTGTTGGGTTAAAAAGAAAATTAAGATTACATTTATTAATCTTATAAATGAACTTTGCCTGATTTTTAAATATGAGCAGATTTGTGTGAAGTTACAAGGTTGGTCTAATCTGTACTTACATAGCTCGAAAATATAAGAATTCAACAGTTAGTTATACAAAGAGTTCACTTTTCAGACTTTTCACTTTTTAAGAAAAGCTTGTAAATAATTTGAATGCTATCCAAATATTCACTTTTTGAAACACAGGATTATGTAACCAAACCTTTATGAAATACTAATCTTTAAATAATACTTTTTTGTGCAATGGTATTCATGGCTTTTCTTCTTTAAATTGTTGAATTACATGTCCTAAATGTGATAGAAAAAGTAGCTTAAACCATGAACTTATTTAAAAATATTTACATTATGCCCTGTTATGTTTTATTAAGTTTTTACATTTCGGTAATGACTGATATTAATAATTTTTAGGCGCTTAGTTTGTAAAGTATTTTTTGTAATATTTGTTATTTTTTCATTTCCTCACTCTTTTCTTTACAGATAAATTAAGGAAAGAAATTAACAAAGTTGTTAATAAATATATTGATCAAGGCATAGCTGAATTAGTACCTGGAGTTCTTTTTATTGATGAAGTTCACATGCTTGATATTGAATGTTTTACTTATTTACATAGAGCGTTGGAATCTTCTATTGCTCCCATAGTCATCTTTGCAACTAATAGAGGCCGTTGTAATATAAGGTAAAAATTAATGATAAAAATGGTCTGTAAAAATAATGAAAAAAATTTAATTATTTGTTCTAGCTTTATATGCATAATTCATATAAAGATTTTTTAATTTTTTAAAGCTCTCAATTTTCACAGATTCTATTTGAGTAATCAGTTTTCGGCTTGCTTAATTTTTGTCGATTTCATTGTAAATTCAAGTGATGTTTCAATCATTTTTTAAAAAATTTATGACTGTGGCCATGTGGTTTTTAAATTCCGATACATTTATTATGATATTGCAACTTGTGAGTTATAAGTCATGCATTTATTTGATCACTTTTTGACATGCTATATTTGTGCAATTTCATTGTAAATCTAAATGATTTTCTTTCCTTTCTCATAAAGACAATTAATACTACACTTCCTACATGAATCCTGCGTTTTTGTTACAATATTATTATGGCACACCAGTTTCAAATTGCCCTGTTATTGCAACCTGAAAAATTTTAAAACTGAAAGAAAATGCAAATTTTTAAACTGCTCATTGTTAGTAATTGTTTTTTAGTTTTTTGTAGCTTAGGTGATTTTTTTTAGGAAAAACAAAGTTCCTTTTCAAAGTTTCCTTTTTCAACATTCATAAAACCTCTAATAATTCAAGAAATAGAAATAATATCTGAACATAATACCAAATAAATATTGAATCTTATTTTATACTACACTGAAGAGCCAAAAAAACTGGTATACCTGCCTAATATCGTGTAGGGTACCCACGAGTACGCACAAGCGCCGCAACATGACGTGGCATGGATTCGATCAATTTGTGAAGTAGTGCTGGAGATAATTGACACCATGAATCCTGCAGGGCTGTCCATAAACCAGTGGGAGTAAGAGGGGGTGGGGATATCTTCTGAACATCACGTTGGAAGGCATCCCAAATATGTTCAATAAAGTTCATATCTGGGGATTTTGATGCCCAGCGGAAGTGTCTAAATTCAGAAGAGTGCCGCTGGCCACCAAAATCCCCAGACATGAACATTATTGAAAATATTTGGGATGCCTTGCAACGTGATGTTCAGAAGATATCCCCGCCCCCTCTTACTCCCACTTATGGACAGCCCTGCAGGATTCATAGTGTCAATTATCTCCAGCACTACTTCACACATTGATCGAATCCCTGCCACGTCGTGTTGCGGCGCTTCTGCGTACTCGCGGGTACCCTACACGATATTAGACAGGTATACCAGTTTTTTTGGCTCTTCAGTGTATTATGGTTTGTTTTAATTTTTGTTTAAACCCTATACATTTTCTTTAATTAAAATATGTATGTACATTTCATTCTGTGAACCTTATTTTTTTTGTTTTTGTTAATATTTTCAAATCAATTATTGATAAATAGGGAAAAATTTTTTTAGTAAAAGTACCAGTTTTTTCATTTTTTAATGAATTCTAATAATTAAAAGCCTTTAATTTTCTGCAAGTATATTATTAATGTTTTGAATTAAAAAACTTTTAGTGCTTAGAATACTAATGTTTTTAAAAATTATATCATATTTGTTACCACCATGTGCGTGGCCTTTCGTTAGTCAACCTGCTGCGTAAGTGGCCCTTCGCACAATAAGGTAGTGAATTGTTTTATTGTGGCTGTGACTTTTTTAGTAACATAAATAATACTTAAATGTTAAATTTGCTAATAAATTATCTTTTAAAGAAAAATGTATTATAATTTAATTGCAATAATGAACACAGTGGTAATTTTCAGGGGTGCAGAGGATATAATATCACCTCATGGTATTCCTGTAGATCTTCTGGATAGACTTATGATTATTCGTACCTTGCCCTATTCAAGCTCAGAAATGATTCAGGTATAAATATATAATATCAGTTATTTCTTATGTCTTTTTTTTATATTATTATGTAAATTTTTGTGCATAGAAAGTAAACATAAATAAAGTATTTTTTTAATGTGTTACAACAGGGTTCGAAATCAACTATGACCACCATAAAATAAATTATCAGTAGTTTCTTAGACTAGCAATTCTTGTAAGGGATGGTGTGCTTTTTTTGATTTTGTCACAAAATATATTTCATTATAACTGTGAACATTACACATTTTCTGTATCTTTATCTTTTTATTTAAATTCACTTTATTTTTATTTATTATTTTGAAAGAAAAAAAACGAACAAACTTACAGATACATATAAACAGACCTGTGAAAATGTGCTGGAACTAATTATATCTTTTAGTTACTAGTCCTGTGCCCTAGTGACAAAATTTTCTTAATTTCTATCTCTTAACAATTTCTTAAACCTTTATTGAAATTAGGTTACTTCTGATACTTAACTTAGTAACCAATACTTAGATTACTTCTGATATCTGATTACACTGGAACATCATACAGATTACTTTTACCTGCTTCCTTTTACAGATTATGTGATAATATAATACATATAGTAATATATGTTACATTAAATAAGAAAGCAAACAAAATACATACTATTTTCTCTAAAGTTCTTTTGTCGATGATTAATTATACTATTTTAATTTGAATTTACATTTTTAATTATTTCTCTTCTGTAGCGTATGCTAAAAAAATAGATTTTGGCTAGCTCAAATTTGTAAATAAGTACAAGGAAGTTATATCAAATATCATTAGTCAATCATGCGGAATTTTTATATACTTATAAATGATTGCATTTTTAAAATAATTGTTTATGTTATAAATTTTTAATAAAAAAATGAAAAAGAATCCACGAGTTTTCCAAACTAGCAATATTATGCAAAATTATCGAATAACATTTGGTTGCAAATAATTCTAATTATTTAATATCTATTAATTCTAATTATAAAAAATAATTTAAATTATTTCTAACATATTTAATAGGAGGTCATTGACATGAATTATCTTTTTCAAGAATGATCAGTGTTCTAAGTTTAATATAAGAGGAAATAACATTTTGTTAATTAATTAGTTATTTAATTGAATGATATTTGAAATGCTAAGTTTGTTCATAGTTTCTTCATTATTTAAATATGAATTTAAAAATTGAAAAGAATGGATTTGTAAAGTTATTTGTCAAAGGTTTATTATTATTTTTTTAAAATTTAAAACAAATTTTATTTTCCTTGCACTAAAATCAGTGTTAAAAATGAACTATTTTATTTCTATAGTATTTTTAATCCTAAAAAAGTTGAAAATTACCATTAATTTACTAATCTTTTAACAATCAAAACTACCAGAATGAAAAATATACTTAAATAAAACTACTTTTTTGAACTAACTATGCTTTTTGTTTTTCAATAAAGACTAATTCGAATTAAAAAAATAATTACACACTTAAACTATATCATTTATATGACTAACTCATGTTATATCAAAGTAATTTATACAGGAAATAAAAAATCTGTGAAGTTAGGCTGTCGGTCTAGTTAGCTATTAAAGGAATGAATGAAAAAAATTTAGAAAAATGTTAATCAAAATTTTCTCTTTAAATTTCTTTTCTTTTAAATAATAAGGTATATTTACTTTTAGATTCTTAAAATTAGAGCAAATGTTGAAGGCATTACTATCGATGAAGAATCACTATGTACTTTGGGGGAGATTGGACTGAAAACTACTCTAAGGTATATGTGTTTTCTAAATGATATATTTATTCTTCAATGTTATAACATGTTTTTGATAGTGCTTAATATTCATCCCATAATTGAATGCATAGAAAGAAAATGATAGTTCAATGCTTTGTATATAATTTTAAATGAGATTTCTAAAGTATTAAAATAGATTTTTGTACTCTAGGTAATTAATATTATCCCTCTAATGTAAATATGGAATTAATGAATATAATATGAAAATGTTGAATAGTTAATGAGTATGGAATAGTTATCTAACATAGCAAGTTTTGCAGCTTATTCTTTATGCATTCTCCCTCTTACTATCCATGAGTTGACGAAAAAGAAATTTCATGTAGCGGTTTGGAAAAATTTCTAGTTTACTTCCAAAATATGACAACAATCAGTATAAATGAATTTTTGCCTTCATACCAGTAGCATTGAACTCGGCAAGTAAAATTGCCATGCCACTAATATGGCGACATTTGTCGACTAAGGGTTAAAATAGCTTTAACAGTTTTGTACCTGTTTCCCATTTAATTGTAGATTACAGTAAAAATTTCTGATTTATTATACAATAAGTAGAGTAATTTGATTTTTTTCATGAATAAAGAAACTTTTGTAGACGAAGGGTTAAAATAGCTTTAACAGTTTTGTACCTGTTTCCCATTTAATTGTATAATACAGTAAAAATTTCTGATTTATTATACAATAAGTAGAGTAATTTGATTTTTTTCATGCATAAAGAAACTTGTTCTCTTCTTCCGCCCCCCTCTTTATAATGGGCAGAATTAACTGTGCAGATAATGAGCTAAAAATTACCGAGCCATTCATATATTTCAAAAATAAATTTTGTTTAAGACAATGGAAAATCCCATATCTGGAATCGTGAAACTTTCAGCAGGTCTTGAAAATTGATTTTTCCAGATAATAAGTAACTTTTGTTACAGATTTCCACATGGTTTTTATAATCTCGATATTTTAATATGTCATTATAACATGCTGGAAGTTTTGAATGGCACATTTCAGTTAGTAGTAATTTCTCCATTAGCGACGATTCCCCAGAGAATCCGTGTGGCTTTGAAGATCGTTTTTCGGTAGTTGTTAAAACAGATTTTCACACATTATTTTGTTCATCCGCGATTCCACATGGATTTACAATCAAATTTTCTATCGATTATCTATGCAGATTTTTATAGTTTCCTAATAATACATTGTCACTGGAAATTTAAAATCGCGCATTTGTAGAATAACTTTATTGTTCATCTAAGTTTATCAATCCCATTTTCAACACTGGAATTTCCGCACAGTTTTTAAAATTTTGATTTGAATTGGTAAAAATCATAAAGAAGTGAAAAATCAGAGGATTCTCATACCTGCAGACTATTTTTTAACAGGTCACAAATGGGAAAAGAATTTTTTATTTTATTTTGATTGTTTAAAAGTGTCTAGTAAAAAGATCCTTCCGTTAAACAAACAGACTTCCGAATATGACTCTTTGAACTGTAATAAAAAAATCTAAAACAAGAAACAGAATTGTGTAGATTTTTTTTCAAATAAAACATCCCTGTAATTTAAAGTGAATCTACTCTTCTCTGCTGATGTTCTTTTCAAACATTATCAATACTATCCGGATGTTTCACTAATATTCATAGTTTATTCTTCTTCCCTAAGTTTTACTCTAATTGCTTGTGTCTTTTCAACACCTCTTTTAGTGTGCTTATTGAGACAAAATGTTCAGTTATGGAAAATAAATAAAAAAAGAAAAGAAAAAGTTTTGTTTATTTTGATTGTTAAAAAGTGTAGAAAATAAAAGCTTCCAGTAAATGGGCATCTGGAAATGGAACTTACTTACCTTTAAATCTAATACTTACTGCACGATACACTATGATGAAATAGCAATTATTTTACCTTCTAAGTGGAGTAAGATACTTTGAGGAAAATACAAATAAGTGTTTGTACCTGGCAGCTTGATTCATTAATTTTCTTTTTCTTCCAATTTTAAATGAATTTATTTCTGTTTTTAAAATTAAGTTCTAGTTCAATTAAACAACAATAAACTTTTAATGCGACACCTGATTAAAAAACTTTAATCTCTACAAATAGTAAATAACAGTCAAAAATAGACGCTCCAGAGTTGCCAGGCGTGAATGAGGAGAAACAAAACATTTAAAGTTGCCAACTTAAAATAGAATGGTAAAAGACAAAACTAGAAAAACCACAGTGGCCAAAAGGATAAAAATCGGGGTTAAGGGAATTTTATACTTTTTTCCTTGTAAAAGACATTAGTTCCTCAACACCTCTCCTTAGCGTGTGGAAATGCATTTTAACTTGATTTGCTCCTCTCGGCCGCTGTAGTTTTTCATTTCTCGGCTGTTTTGTTTCTTACCTTTATTTTTCCATTTTACGTTGACAACCTAACGTTTTTATTTCAGATCACTTTAGTTTGTTGAAAGTATTTAAATCATAATTATTAATTTCAGTGCAATCCTACAAAAAAATGAATAAAATATGGACTTGTTTTGCTCTTATTTTATAGATATGCTGTGCAGTTATTAACTCCAGCTAGTTTGTTGGCTAAAGTTAATGGAAGAACATCAGTTAAAAAGCAAGACATAACAGAAATAGGATCCTTATTTAAGGATGCCAAGTCTTCTGCAAAACTTCTTATTGAACATAGTGACAAATATTTGAAATGATTTATATATATGTTCAATGCATTTGTTTATTGCATTCATTCATTATTCATACTATGCATTGCATTTCTGTTGTAAATTTCTCTGTTTTTCTTTAGTGTATGTAATAAAGAAAAGATTTTAAATAATTTATTGGTTTTTATACAGGATGAATTTACATTGACTACAAATAGGACAGATAATACTATACATTAAAACCTAATTTTTTCATACATTCTTTATGAGCTTCAACTAGGCTTTGGCACTTTTCTTCTCCATTCTCAATTAAGCTAAAAATGAAAAATGTATTTTAGTGTCAGGAAAGGGAAAAAGAAATGTAAATATGACACTCAGAAACCTTTGCATTGATCTGCTAAGTATGAAGTAAAATATCTTTATTCAAATGTGGCATTTGACAGGTTCACAAGTTGTTTAATACTACAATACATGCATTATAAAGTAGAAAAGATCTAAGTCACCCACCATCATGCTATTGGGTCCTTACATTTATTTTATGAGGGAAATATGTCTATCGAAATTTTTTTATTTTTAAACAAAGTTAAGCTTAAAGAGATGCCCAATCTAACCCTAGGGCAAAATAAGATTCAAGTTTGTTTAGTTCAAAAGCTCTATCCCCTGAGCTGCCAAGGCTCTTTTGGTAGTTATTAAAACAGATTTTTACAATTGCAAGGTTTTAACATGATAATATTTCGTTACACGAACTTCATATCATGCATTTTGTTCTTAATTATTGACGATTCACCTGCAACCCAACACGTATTAATGATCTCATTTTTGTTAATTATTGCTACATCATCATACACTTCCAATGATCGCCTGACCCCGAACTTTTACGACGTCATCCTGTGACATAACTAGATATGAACAATAAGCATAGATTTAACTGCTTTGACATGAATATTGATCAGATTTTCAAATATCAGGATCAGGACCCATCAGATCAATTTTTTTGCTTTTAAGATTCTACATAGCTGTCTTACAAGTTAACAAAGCATCTTGCTCATGCTTAAAACGTAAGACAAGCGCTACAGCTAACATTACATAACTCTCCTTATTATCTTACTTTCAGAAAAAATACAAATCTTTAAACTCACATTTATAGTTACATATTGCTTCTTTTTCTACCAACCTTAAAACACATCAGAATCATATCAATTTACTAACAATAGCAGTGTAAGAAAAATTAACACAGCAATATTAAATTTTAGTAACTATTAAGAGTTGCTTAGTTTAACATATTAAAAATTTACTTAAGTTTCAAAATGTATAGATTGAAACCCAAAACTAATATGTTTCACACATTCAACAGAATTTAACAGTAAAAATGCATTGCAAATAGTTATCGAAGATTTAAATTTATACAATCTCCTATACTATACATTACTCTCACTATGAAAAATATTTAAACTCTCACTAATTTTCAGTATTCACAGTCGCAGCTTTTCATATGAAAACTAGTATACTCTTCGAATAATGTGGTACATCATCAATAAATAACTTAATATCTATTGGTACTTTAATAACTTCTGGCTGTATATTACTCACATTAATTACAGGCGACTAAGATGCAACTATTTTCAAGTAAAGCAGACTTTTTTGTACTCCTAGCAATGTTTTTTCCCTTTTTTTAAAGCATAAATTGGGTTAAAAACCTGTGATCCGTGTGCTTCTGAACATGCTAAATTATAAAAAAAAATTGCAAATTTGAGTCATCACATTTTAATTTGTTCAATTTGCTCAGATTCCTTTGTAAGTCTATTTCGTTTCTTGGTCGCCTTTTTAATGGTTATTGCAATGAAATTCACAGTGATTTAAAAAAAAAAAAACATTTTTAATACAATATTACGATGTGTGAATTGGGAATCACTTTTCACAATATATATCAATTATTGTGAAATTTTTTTTTTAGAAAAAGTAAATTTTACTAATGAAAAAGTAATTATTATATTTGCCACCAACTTGACTAAACGGATCATGGTATATGATAATTAAGTCATATAGTAATATTTTTCTTATTTAGGCAACTATTTTCATAGTTTTTAACAACTATTTTGCCCATTTTTTTCTGTGGCAACCCTGTTATTAAGAAAATTTATGTAGTTAATTAATTACTTATTGAAAATTAATTTTACTTAATATCTGTCACAACTTAAGTTTTATCTATTGAAAATAATGTAATCTTATTTTCATGAGTTATTTCGCAATGTCATTATTTTCATGAATTATTCACGATTTCTGAAAATTATTTCACTATGTCAATATTAACTCTTAATTTAAAGACACCTCACTAAGTTAATTCTGCTTTGACCTTCAAATAGTATTTATAAATACCACAAAATTTCCCAATCTCCATTAAAATTTTTAATCTCAAATTAGATTAAGGTGGAAGATAACTAATTTTATTTAAGAATTTTTTTTACATGAAATTTAAGTTTCTTCTAAGCTAATAAATTTCTAACATACAATTAACATTAATCTAAAGTTTAGTAAAATTAGTAGTCATTAACTCAAGTTTTTAAACAATCTATAAATTCAACTATTTTAATTCAATCCTCAACTTCTATAATTTGAATTTTATTTAAGCCCTATATAATGTCTTCAAATGGAAATTTAAGACATTTTTTATAAGAACATAAACAAGTTGGTTTTTATTTTATTAACTCACCACTATCTCATATATAGTATTAAAAGCCTTATTTATAGACATATACACATATTTTTGAACTTTAACAAATTTATATCAAAAGTTCTAGGAACACAACCTATTTTTCAAATTAAATCTTAGGAATTTGAAAAATATTCATATCAGTAGAATTGAAACTATCAGATTACTTTATTGAATATACATAAGTAACTGAAAGTATAATAAAACATTCCTCTAAAAATTTCAGTTTCCACATACATACAATCTCAAAAAAAGAAAGAAAAGGGAAGTATAAATCAGATAAAATTCAATTCCAAAAATTAAATGTATGCATTTTGAAAAATTGAAAATTAACAGCTATTAAATCAACATAAATATACGAAAAGCGAAAATGAACATAAATATACAGCTTCCAAGTCAATTGAATTGAACTATAAAATTTTGATTCAAAGTTTTAAACTTTTTATTTCTAAAATCATTTAACTCAACTTTATCACAAAATCAGGACTTAAAATCTTTATTTTCTAAATTCAATATTAGCATTAATATCAGTAATTAAATTTATGTTCTCATAATAACATACTAATACATACCAGAAGTAAACCAGAACCAGTTTAACCAGAAGTAAATATCAAACTTTAAATTTAGAAGTTCAATCTTAATTACTTCCCAAACTTTCAAATTTAAATTTCAATAGTATCTTCAAGACATTAAACTTTCAAATCTACGCAAGTTTAATTAAAATGAAATTCTAGCAAATGTTCAAAATGCAAGAAGTTCGCTTTACACTTTAAATTTCAAAAATAGCTAATTCTTAAAAAAAAAATTCAAAATAATGTTTGTTACAAAACAAAATAACTCAAATTTTACATGTTCTATACTTAAAAAAAATCAACTGAAATATAATTACTATTATTGCCTTTTAATCACTAGAAAAGCACTAAAATATTTTCAAATATAAATTTAAGTTTTTTGAAAAATACACAGGCTCAACCATATCTAAACTTGTTTATCAATAACAAGAAAAAACCCATCAAATCTAGACAATATTTCACATTACATAGGCAATAACAATATTTGTACATTTGGCTAGCTTAAGCAAAAAAAAAAGTTAACACACAAAAGTTATCTATATGGAAAATACTGAAATTTCTAAATACAAAATTTACATGAAATCAAATTATTTACAGATTTACTTTTAGCAATTACATTCAACAGTAAACCCAATAGATATCAAAACTATTACCAATTAAAGTACAAATTTAAACTTCAGTACCTACTATTTCACACGTTAAAACTTTGTATGTTTAACTTTGATGCTAACAAAACCTCTAAATCACAAATCAATCTATAAATTTCAAACTTTCAGTAATGATCCCACTTTAATTAAACTTTAAATTTAAGAAGTTTAATTGGAATTATTATTACAAGTTTACCATATTAAACTTTTTATTTAATCTTTTAGTAATTATCTTTTTGAATATGAATTTAAATTACAACAAACTACAAATCTACTTACTACAAACTACTTTCTTAGAAACAATTACTCAGTAATGCAAGATAAAATTTCGATAATTTTGTTATTACTTCACACGAACTCGAAAGGTATAACTCGTAGTCGACCCCGGGCAAACACTTGCATGTTTTTTTAAAAAAATTTTTGGAAGTTTAAAATCTATTTTGCACCTTGGTGATCGTAGTTGGCGCTATAGATCACGATACAGAAATATCCCCCGTCTTTTCTCTGCATCCCGCACTCTTCATTAATACAAATATTTATTAAACATAATCTGAAATGGTGTCTTTCATCAATTACCATCCACATAATGCCAAAATTTAAATAAAAAAAGTACAGTGTTTTGCACAGAGATGACTATAAAGAAATATACTTTGAGTTAACTTTAGTGATTTTTTTTGGTTCCTCATGTGCCTGGTGAAAGCGAAAATTTGGCCACATTTTTAGCACTGGTGCAAAATACAAAAATCTTTCCAAAAAAAAAAAAAAAAATATTAAAGAGAAAGCCTTTGCTTAAATGGTATAGAACAAGTCTGAAATAAAACATTGACGAAGTAGTAAAAATATGTAACATTTCATAACACATCAACACTCTTTTGTCATTTTTTAAAAAGCTTTTCTTCATTTGTGAGTTTTTATTTTTTCTCCTAATAGGCACAGTAATTAATTTTTCTTCCTCTTTCAATGATTACGCAAAATGTGCATTCTTTTACAATTAAATTAAAGGGTGAAAATAAGTCAAATTTTTTGCAATATAATTTAAAAACATTATGAAGAAATTTTTAAAAAAAAAATTTAATTTTAAAATAATACTATACCAAGCATCTCTAGCTTTTCTTGTTTCTGGACAAGCACAACATGCCTTTAACTTTTTGGGTTCTTTATCATCAGGCATATTTACTTTACTTTCGAATTAAACGTTTTCAATAAAAACAATCAGAAATTTTTCCTTTTTCTCTTTATCACTTTTTTGTTTGTTAAACACGACCTTATTGCATCACTCGTGTTCGATGTCGGATGGATGCGAAATACACTCTGGTTTCTTTTCAGTTTGAAGAGAATAAGGGAAATATCATATGAAATATGAGATTAAAATAGAAAACTCAAAAAACTGTTTGATTACAATGGTTCGTATATTCAAATTTTCTATGGTTTTATATATGTGGTTACAAACAAAATATTTAAGAAAAATATTTTTAACTAAACACTTGAATATCAATTTAAAATTTACATATTAAATTTTTTTTATGTTTTATGATTGAAAAAATCTAGTGAAAACATAATTCTTGAGTCTATTTCTATTGAAAATAATGAAGATGATTTTGGATCTAAAAAAAACAAAAATAAGCAGTCAAAAGCTTAAACTTAAATAGCAATAATAAACAATAAATAATGACGTGTGTTTTCGTTTTCAGTTTGTCATGTTGTACTATAAATAACAATTTAAAGCGGGACTTATCATAAAATTGTCATTAATTTTTAGAATGCAAAGTTACCCTAATTTATATTTAATTAGATGACGTTAACTTTCTCAGATGTACTAATTTTTTTCGTTTTGTGCACTTGTGTCCCTTTGCAATATTTTCTCGTCAATAATTGGGGAAATGTCGAATCGAGTCGGTCATATGCTATAAATAAGTAAGATAAATATTGAATTGGTTAATAAAATTTATGTAGTCAGATTCTTCTTTAAATGCTTTTACGTTTTTTCCCCTGATCACATTCCTATTGTGAAAGAATAAAAAAATATTTAAAATTTTGCAGCTCCTGTATTTTTTGTTTTTGTTTTAAAAAAGCTTGAATTGTTAAGAAAAATTAAATGCTTTATTTTATAGTATAATTTTATTATTATTTGTTGCGCAGAAGTATTTCTTAGTAAAAGTTTTAGTTGACTCTAAATTAAACATTCAATCTGTCTATTTACAATAATGTAAATCAAATTTTTAATAAAAATGCAAGTGGTAAATAATTTATGCTGAAAATTAATTATATCAAACAAAATATTTAGCTTTCTTCTCTTAATTGTTAAGAATATTTTTGTTTTGTCATTGTTGTTAAAATGTTTTGTTATCGTGCGTGTTAATAAATTCTGTTGACATAACAAAAATATTGACTTATGTAAAAAATAATATAAGTTTGCTAAATTGGAAAAATATTGTGTACAGCTAAATATCAATAAATCATAATATTGAAGTTGATTATTTATCTGTTACCTATAGGGACCAATGTTCATGATACCCATAAGGATCATGTTCACAACTTGAAAGAGCTGTTACCAACTACAAACAAATGAACAAATTCTGTAATTCCAACTACTATTGCTCTTTAGTTATCGAAAGCTATGTTAAGAATGCTGATGTACTATTAAGAGTAAAAGATACTAAATTTGACTGGAAATAATTTTATTTGAAATTTTATAACTGTCGTTGAACAGCCGACACAATTTTTGGGATTTATGATGACTAGCGTTCATCTCTTTAGCCTTGTAATTTTTAACCCAATCCAGAAGACTAGGGAACTCCTGGATCGAGTATTGGGGGAAGTTTGGCTTTGTGAAGGACTTTTGATGGAACTAACCCGCATTTGCTTGAAATGGAGCGGAAAAACTCCCACGGTTAGCCGGATGGCAAGGGGACTCCCATGATCCATCTACCACTGAGGTTATTTTACATCAGCACTGTGGTTGGTGCAAGCTGGAAGCGAAATTCGTATCAACCAGCCTCTGCTGGGATTCGGACCCAGTTTACCTCAATGGAGGGTGAATGCTGAGCCATCACGGCTCGGGAATTTACATTAGTAAAGATTTCTATATCCTCACCCTACTTTTTTTAATTGAGGAAAGGTCCCGCAGTGGATTGATCGTTAAGACACGGCTCCCAGCAGATCACCGAAGTCAATCATCACTGGCTGTGGTCTCGTTAAACTGTGCTACCGTAAGGTGCTCGACTTCAAGCGCAGGTCGTCGGGCTACCGAAGCAGGGGTGCCATCCCCTCCCCAGAGGATCAAAATTGTGATGGCATGTCTTCGGAATATCCTCCGGGCTGTTTCCCAGACCGTCGCCAATAGCCCATTGTGCAGCTCTAATGTGACGTTAATTAACAACAATAACAACATAATTGAAGAAATAGAAATGAAATAATTTTAGAATTATGCTTGGGAATTTGTATGCCAATAAAAAATGCAAATAGTAATAAAATAATAATTTATTTAATGTGTTTTAAAATTTGCTTTTTGGTCTTATTTTGTTTTTAGATTAATTACCCGCATCACCAACTTCTATGATGAATATCTGACTTTAGAATCTTGGAAGAAATGGGTTTCCAATCTATTGGACATTGATTATGGAGCTGCTGATACCAGTTTAGTTTTAGATGATTTGGGAGAGTCTCCTGCTCTAGAAGTACTACGGTTCAAACAAAAAGATGGTTATTTTGGTTGTAAGAAATTTTTTTGTATTTTCGTCTTATTTCTTTGCTTAATGCGGTTAAGAAACTAGTACCTTTTAAACCACAGATGTTATTATTATCTCAGCTGCTATATTAATAATGCATATTAAAAAAATTATCCTTTGAAAATAGCGAAATGTAAAGTTAAGGAAGGGCTCAAAATAAAGAAATAGCTGTAATCAAATCCTTAATTTAAGAGTGGTTGAAATTAAACATTGGTGCATAAATGTCTACTTTCAAATTTCAACTTGAATCTGAACTAATATTATATTTGAAATTACAAAATTAATTTTATTAAATTAATTTGGTTTGGTTAATATCCAGTTTTTTGCTTACAAATCTTAATAGTGTTTTATATGCTTGAAGCAGAACTCTGATATTATTTATCGAATTTGACTCATTCACATTCAAAATATGTTTTTATGTTGATCACAAATATCTTGCTTTAGTTTTATTTATTCATATTTGTTATATGCAAGCTTCTTTTAATCATCATAAAGTCTTATGTGGGAATAAAAACAGACAAAAGTATCTTGATTGGTGCGAATAAAAATAAGTTTGGTGTAAACTATTTATATTTGTGCTTATTACATTATTATATCTGTATTAAGTTCTTTTTCTATATTTTGCCTCAGCTAATTATTTATTAGTTATTTAACAATAGTTTACTGTGTGAATTGTCATATTTTATTTATCCCTAAATTTCCTTGAATTATATTGTACACTTTAAGGCATTGAGTAAGGCTGCAGTTTTATGTTTAAAATTCTTACAAAATAGCATTGCATTTAATTTATTGTGGTTCGTCAAATTTATAGTTTCTCAAGAACCGAGGCTCTTGAGGCATCCCAATGTTAAATATCGTGTTGGTCAAGTTGTACGACACAGAAAATGGAACTATAGAGGTGTAATAATTGGATGGGATGAAAAGGCTCGAGTAAGCGATCTACATAATTTTTTCTATTGATTATTTTTACTTTGTTTATTTTTGATTTTTACTCTGAGGTATCATAAGGAATTTTTGATAACAATTATATTAATAGTAATTAAGTGTATTAAAAATAACATTGGTCTTTTTTAAAAAAAGAGGCTAACGTTTTGATTAAAGGTTCTAATATTACATTAGAAATATTGCATTCTCATGTATCATAAATGAAGGTATAAAAGAATCTTTTTTGGAATTTTATTGCTTTAGAAAATGTTATTTCTGATTTCATTCAATTTTGTTATTATTTCATAATAAAATTACCTAACATAAAGTGCAATAATTATTTGTTAACTTTGCAATTCAAATTTTTTTGTTGTTGACCATTACTAGTTTAATACTTTAAAAATTATGTTTTTTTGTGATGTATTTTCTTTTAAAAAAATAAGTTGTATAATTATGTGTGTAAACTTTTTTTTGATTCGCCTAAGCAGTTGAAACACGTGGCAAAAAGTAAAATTAACCTTAAATTTAAAAATTATTTTGAATGACATTTATTCAGTTTATTATTATTATTAATTAAATTTATTAATTAAAGTTATAAATTACATTTATTTTATAAATTATTAAATCTATTTTTGACGGTTCTCCTGATTTCTGGGATTATATTTTCCGGATTGTGGAAATTTTTCATGTTTCGATGATCAAAAATTCATATTCATTAAGAATCAAAGTATGTTTGTTCTAAGAGAGTACTTTATAATGTTTGATTTCATAACCTAAAATATCGATACAAATATTAAGCATATTTAGATGTTAGAGCCCTTAACATCAAGATAGCATTTTAGAATGTAAAATTCAGATCTCATGATTAAAATTAATTAAAATATTGTCTTATACTTTTGCATTCTGTACATCCTGTGAAATCCTGCAATAATAATAATAATAAAATTAGCATTTCTTAACCTTAACATTACTTTTATTATAAAAAGTTTATTTTATACTTAGGTTTTACTAAATTTGACAAATAGTGCAATTTAGACAAAACATGGAAAAGATATTCCGTGTTGTTTAAAATTATAATATCTATTGTTCATTCTTAATTGTCTTTTAAGATTCTTGCTCTTTCATCCTTAGGCACCAATTGAATGGCTGGAACAAATGCACGGAAAAGAAAACCCTGTAAGTCTGATTCACTTTTTTATCTTATATATCTCTTGATTTTCATTTATTAAACTGCATTGTTATATCAGCAAATCATATTTTCGCTTTTACTTCTGTTATAGCAAAGAATAAAATATTGTGATGCATTGAAATTCATTTTTTTAAACGGATAATTGAATTAGGATAGTGATGAGTTGTAGTGTATTTTTGTTCTTTTTTTTGTTTCGGCTAAACTAAAATTTTACTATTTTTACTTTTGTCTTTGATGTAGTGAAATAAAAGTAAAATATAAATAATCTGGATTCTTTAACTTGAATAATTTTTTTTATTTTTGATTGTTAAAAATAAGTATTGCTTTTCAGGTTCTTTCAGCTTTGTTTAGGAGGTTATTCTTTTTTAATTATTAGAATTTTTTTCCTTCAAAACGTTCATTATTTTTATTGGATGATGTTATGTATATGTATTGAATGATCATTATGATATTGAAATGATATTTTTGTTTCTGTGACATTCTCTGTGCTCTTTTCATTTTCTTTTTGCTTTGTTTAGGAGGTTATTGTTTTGTAATTATTTGAGTTTTTTTTCCTCCAAAACATTCATTATTTTTATAGGACAATACTATTCTTTTGAAGTTATCATGAAGTAAATTGTAGTTTACTTATTTTTGTGGCAAAATCTTAAAATATTTTTGTGTTTTTATTGTTTCAGCATTGGCGTGATATGCCCAATTATTCTATTCTGGTTGATACAAGAGATAGGTTAATTCCTCAGTTAACTTACGTGCCTCAAGAAAATATTGAAATTATTACAGATACACAGGTAAGTTATATTGCTGATTAGAACGTGCTTAAAAATTAATAGATAAAACGGTGCATTTTAATTTACTCCTTGCTGTATGTTTTATATCTATAAATATTTGTTATCCATTCAGAGTATTCTTTTAGTTATTCAAATATAGTTTGGCTATGATTTGTTATGCATCTGCACCAGTTTTACAAGAATTTTGTTTTTATTCAGACAATAATAATCACACAGATAAGTGTGGTGTAATGATCAGGAGAGTGGAAAGAGCAAAAGTTTTGACTTAATACCTTCAATGTTTTATTTGTTAATTTTTTTAAAAAAAATGAAGGTGAAGTATAAATTTACCCAGAATTGCCTGGATATTTTTTTTCAATCATATCTACACTACATGAATGATTTAAGAAAGTTAAAAGTAGTTTTGATGTGGTGCCTGGATGCGAGACTGTAGTTTAAATAGAGGCATATGACTTTCTTTCTAGGCAAATGGGCTTAGTCATAAATGTATAGAAAACAAAATACATGTTATTCTCAAGAAACAGAGTCCCAGACCCCTACTTTAAAATAAATTCTTATGGATTTGAAACAGTGAGGAGTTTTACTAACTTAGGATCAATTATTACCATTGAAAACAGAATTACTCCTGAAATAAAAAACCGACTATCTGGCGAATGGGGCTGAAAAGATTCATTAAATCTAGGTTTCTTTCTAGAAAAACAAAGTTCTTAATCTACAAAACTGTTGTCCGTCCAGTCTTGACATACGCCTCTGAATATTGGACAATGACAAAATTGGAGGAAAATTGTATTGCAATATTTGAGAAAGATTTTGCGGAGTGTACTTGGTGGTGTAAATGAAAACAATAACTGGAGAAGGAGATTTAACTTTGAACAGTACAAGATTTATAAACAACCTGATATTATTAAATACATAAAAATAAATAGAATTAATTGGATCACTCACCTGATTCGAATGAGTGATGACATCACAATAAAAAAGATACTGCTTTTTAGACCCAATGGAAAAAAGAAAGCGGGGAAGGCCGCGATTGAGATGGGCTGACTCAGTGGAGTCTGATTTTCTCGCAATTGATGAAAAGAACTGGAGATCAAAGATAAATCAGAAGTCATCATGGAGAAATCTTCAGAGGATGGCATTGGCTCACATTGGGCTGTCTGGCCAACTATGGTGATGATGAACTTTCTTTGGAATTGTTATATTGGGAATGTTTACTTCAATATGTTATTGTTTATGAAGTAAATTTGTTGACCGTGAAAAGATTTAACATGACTGTGGAGTCAATTTTTTATTGCTGAGCATTTACTAAAATGGTGAATAAAGATTGGTTTAATTTCAAGGTATTGTGAAGAAAAGAAGTATGGTACACACTTTATTAGTGAGTAACTATTATATGTCTACTGTAGTATCATTTTCTTATTTTAGCACTTTAATATTTATCTTTTACATTTAAATATTTCTTTCCAGTTACAGAAACCTCTATTAATCTGCAACAATATGAGTAAAAAGACTATATTTTCATCTTTTTTATTACATGCTCTTAATACATATTTATTTTTTATCCTTATAGGTAATCCATCCAATGATTGAACTTCATTTTGAGCGTTTTGACGGCATTCGATACCTTCCACGCCCATGGTTCCAAGCTGTTTACCCTCAAGACTGACAAAACATTTTATACTTGTGATAAAATTGCTATATTTGATGGCTACTTAAAAGCAGTTCTTAAACAGAGAAAATTATTTTTTTAAAATTAGCTTTTAGTGTCATTGGTATGAAAATCAAATTTCTTTATAAAGTAAAAATTTTTTTTGTTGCTGAATCTTAATCCTTAGATATAGTTTTTGCTAAAAAAGTTTCAGTTTAATCACAGATTAGTACAAATGCCAAATTTAAATGTTGACTAAATAAACTGTAGTTAAAAGATGCATTTTGATTTGTTTTGAACAAAATCAATGCAATCTTTCTTCAAATTTAATTATAGAATGACAAAACACTTCACTCAATTCATATTATGTTAAATTTTTTATTTGTGTAAATAAATGTGCATATTTATATGTATTTTTTTTCTGGATAAATTTTGAAGATTCCTTGTTCTACTGTTATTTTGGAGTCTGTCTTTTTTAACAACCCAGATATTGATTCATAAATGTAGAGTTTGTCTACAGTAAGAACTCTCCCCACCTGAGTCTGTCTGCTGCTATAGAAACAAGAATAGGGAGGGTAGCTTCTTTTCACTCTAGGGGTAACACAATAGACTATAAAAATATTCCCTTTCTCTTGCTGACCCTTAGCCAAAACCTGTCCTTCGCAATGCCCCCACATCCTTACTTGAAATAGTTATACCTCATTACGATAGTCACCGCCAGGGGTCCAGACAAATGACTAGGGGGGTGGTAGCCTAGTTAGTAGGGAGGTTAGAGGTTGTGGGTTCGATCCCAGCCGACCGAAGACTCCGTGTAGTAAATGGTGATTGGTGCACGTTAAATCTGTCGAGTCTCAAAGTCCTCCATGTTCCCATATCAAATCATACCTTTGGGGGTATTGATCCAGGAGTTTCCTTGTCTTCTCGATTGATTCAAAATTACAAAGCTACGGAGTTGAACATTAGTAGTCGTAAACCCAATATTGGGTCGGCTGTTCATCGACGGTTATTAAAAAAAATGGCTTGGGGAGTTCTTACTTTCAACCAACTATATGTCCATTACATTTTCATTTTGTGAGCCCAAGTCAAAATTCCGGAAAATTTCTTGAGTTAAAAAAAAAGTTTAAATTGAAAAAAATTCAAACATGTTTTTTTCCCTTTTTTCTCACTATTTCTTAGTTCACTTAAAATATTTTTAAAATTTTACATATACCTATATCATTTACACATACCTACGATGACCTGGAGAAGTAATTAAAATTTACAAATATGTCTTTCTTTCTTGAGTTTGTGATTATAACAATTATTTACTGATAAAAAATGAATATTAATCATGAATATAAGCTTATAAAGTATATCTCTGGCTCTCCCTTACAAACAAATAAAATAAACTGTGTTTTTAAGTTCCACCTTTGAAAATTTGATTTCCGGAAACTTCTGTGATCAATGATTTTTTGAAACGTCTGAACCTTCGAACTCCGGAAACTTCCGGATCACTGTTAGCGAAAAATCTGGATTTTTTCCGGAGCACAATCAGCCCTGAATTTCTTTAGGAATTTATTTATAGTGGCAGCTGCTCAGTGAAATTGATTGTTCCTCTCTATACTCTTATTACCTGTTATCCCATAAATAACCAATAATTTGAAAAAAGAAAAAAAAGTAAAGGTTTAGAAATGTGTGGTTTGTTGTATTTTACTTATTTCATAAAATTCATTCTTACCAAGTTTTAAAATTAGTTTTGATTAATGGCACTACTAGCTAAGAAAAACTATAAAACAAAGTTTTCTAAATAACCACTATTTTCTATAACAATGTGGCAGTGGTGCAGATACTCAATTGAAAAAGAATTGTTTGCATAGTGACATCTGATGATGTCATCTTCAGTCCTTATCCAGCCTTTGAACTGGAAAGTTGAGCCTTAACCTGCTAATTTTTATTTCAGTCTTTTTTCCCTGTTATTATTTTTTGAACAAGTTGAAATTTGCTCTATTTTTCCATTTGATAATTAAACTAACAAAGAACTAACTGGAATCTTTAATTTTTGCACGAAAAGTTTCACATACAGCAGAAAACATTGCTTTTTAGAGTCATCAAGTTTGTCAACTGCTAAAAATAAAATATAGTTTCCAAAGCATATCAGATTTCGATTTATTCCCTCTTCAAATTTAATTAAATCCTTAGAAACTTGCTACCTGAACTATATAAAATCTTCAATTATGATGTTAAATAACCCTAGTATCTACCCATTCTTATAAGAATTGGTTCTAAATATACATCGTTACATAAATTTTTTTATTTTTTCAAATATTATTTAAGTTATTCATGTTATTTTTTAAATAGTATATTTAAAAAAATAATTGCTAAAAAAAAAACAACAACTTCTACTTAACACAACATGACTTCAGATAATATTTTTTTATAAATGTTTTAGTTAATTGCTAATTATTTAAATAATATACAAAATTTTATAAAAAGAAACTTAGATATTAATAGGTTGAAAAAAATATATTGAACCAAACCGGAGAGCAGGAAGCTCACCACAGAAGAACCAAGTTTTTTTTTTTATCTATTAGAAGGTTTCATAGCAAAGAAGTTCTTTTGGCTTTCTATAGAATATTAATTAAAATAAATCGATAATCTACAGCAGTGTGACATTTTTTTTATTCAAAGGACATAATTCTTTGTCAATGAAAAGTTTATTATGAGATTCAATAGTGTAAGAAATTCTATAAAAAAATACTTTGACACATAAAACAAATATTCAAATATAAAAAGCAAATTTTAAGATATACATGCTACAAGACATATAGGGGAATTAAAGGTATAAAACATGATTATCATAGAAAATATTACAACTTCGTAATGAATGGGAAATTTAAAAACATAAAAAAATATGTTATGTTAAACAGAAAATATTTGAATGACAACTACATTTGAATTATTTAATGAATGCATGATGAAAAATTTTCTGTTGTACCCATTTACTAGTAATTATGTTCTACAGATCCTGAAACATTTGGGGACTTTTGTCATTAAGCTCTTTAACTGTATCATAAAATAGGCAAAGCTGTATAAGTGGATTGTTTCAGTAACAAAAGAGTTAAAACAAAGATGACTGTATATGTTTTATATATTTTTTGGCAACTAACATCTCTGGACAATACAAAGAAATTAATAATAATCTGGGAAAAGTACATTTTACATAATAAATAATATTTTGGCACAAGTAAAATTATAACTAAAAATATATATTCTATAAATTTTAAGTTCTTCTGGTATAAGACAAAAAACACTTTTTTAAAAGTAGAATTGATCAGAAGAATTTGTTACGACAGTTAACATAACATACTTTTTAATTATAGAGCACACAAACAATATCCTTTAAAAAAAAATTTAAACAAAAATTTTTTTTCTTCGCAATGTTCTTGAACAACTAAACAAAATTATAATAATTTAATTAAGTAGCTGTCATAAATTGTCTCTTATGCATGTAAATACACAGCAGTTGCAGATAAAATTATTTTGATTAAAGCTTCATACTTGTTTGAAGAAAATTTTTAGAAACAAAAAGATAAACTGTCTAGATAAAAGATTTCAAAGAAAATAAAACTTTTCACTTTAAAAAGAGAAAAAAAAGTAAGAGCATATAAAATGATAGAGGGGAAATTTTCAAATGGCAGATGTATATAATGCATACTTATTTAAAGTAAGAAATGAAACATATATAAATTCAAGTATATTACATTAATCTTTAATAATAATCAAATTATAAAATATATAAAATAAAATGCTAGTTTAAATTTAGTATTTAAGCAAGAAATAATGGCAGCAAGACTATTTTGTATTTATATGAGGGAAATGTTTTTATGATATATATATTTTTTTTAAAATTAGCATAGTGTATACCTGATAGGATTTTAAATACAATTTCTGATGCAACTGAAAAGTGAAGATTTGGCAGTGAACAATAAAAAAGAAATAAATAACATTCATAAACATTCTACAAATATCATGATTGACAATTCGTCCTGAAGAAACCTGTTTCTTCCAGGGCAATGGAAAGAACCGAAAGAAACTGGATAAAATTGAAGAAACTAAAAAAGACTAATTTTAGTTTCATAAGAATAGCTTTAATTTAAGTAAATTAAATTTAATATAATAACACAAAGTTAAAATTTGTTTACATTTATTAGACTATTATTATAATTAAATTATTTTCATTTTTTTTTTTAGTTTCATGCAAAATTTTAAAATTCTACATATTGTATTAAGAGTGAGTTTGAATATTTATACTCAACACATTTCTGCCAACATGGATAGGAAAAAATCCAGTAGATTTTACAAAATAATTTAAATTTCATGATAATTATTGCACAATGTACTAAATACTTTACACATAGGGAATTTTTATAGCTATCAATATGATTGACATTAAATGAACTTGAAACGCAATGTATTGTGTTTACTCATAATTTTAAATAGTAATAATTTAATTCATCAGAGGTAGTTAAAAGACTTTTACAATAGTTTAGAAAGGGAGTTCTGAATAAAGCAAATTGAACATTTTAGAACAAAAAAGTTTTAAACTGGTAATTTAAAAATTTTCTGTAAATGAGGCCCGTTTCATTATCTATCCGTGATACATATTTAAACATTCAATCGAGCAATAATTTGTGCAAAAATGCCATTTCAATAGGGATTATTTTAGGGACTTTTCTAAAAATTTATAAAAACCAGAATACTTATTAAAGCAGTAGACCAAGAAAAACTGGCAAAATCCAGTACAGTTGGCAGCTATGTAAACAGTATTTGATTATAAAAATAAAAATGCTATTTGTAATTGGGAATTCAATTTGTTCTTAGTAGTATTAATAAATGTTGGGTGTAGATTTGGGAGACATCTGCACTTGTTTTACATGTTTTTTTTTATCTCCAAGTTTGCCGGTAGATAGGGTTCACTCTAGTATGGTGACCTAATGTTCAGTAAATGTCACTGAATTCATACGTTTTGGAGTTTTGAATTAATTGAGTTCTCACTCAATTAAAAGATTATATATTAAACAGCTTGAAAAGTAATACTTATTTAATTTATACTTATTATTATTATTTAAACTAAACTGCAATTATAAACAGATTAAATGATTTTCATTTTCGTTTGGAAAAGTGTTTCTTCCATTTCCTTCACTGAAGTTGGAAGAAATAAATTTTTTTTTTCCGGGACGGTTTTTTCCACTGTGGAAGGAAATTGCTATTTTAGAAGTATAACTTCTAATGCGACTTCCAACAAGGTTGCGTTAAACGTTTAACGCTACCGTTGTCATGGAAACTAGATTTCTCTTTACGTTACGTTCGTTGAGCGCACGAAGTAAGAGAAAAACATAGTAGGTAATATTGGCATTAAAGAAAACAAAGCAATATTTTTTTTAAATTCACCAAGAATACCTTACTGAAATTTAGAAATAAGCTGATTTCTTATTATAATTCTTTTTAAAAATATATTTTATTATTAATATTTTTTACTCAGCGAAATTTTTTTTAAATGAAACAAAGTATTGTATTTAAAAAGTTATTAAGTATATTTTTTTTATTAAATACAATTAAAAAAATACTTTGATGCACATAGATACTCTGCTTTAGATACTTATTTTTCTATGTTTTTTTTTTACTGTTGCCAACAAGGTTGCGTCAAACGTTTAAAGCTACCATGGAGGGGGTATAAAAGCACTGTTGCGTTAAACGTTCAATGCTCCTGGGGAGGGGGAAGAGATAGAGTGAATGCGTGGCACTTGAACGCATGCGCGCAGAAAATGATAATTAAAAGATGCGATCAATTAATCATGCAATTAATTGTTAATAATGCGATCAATTGTAAGTAATGTTAATAAAGTTTGTCTTAAAGAAACAGTATGATTTCACTAAAAATCAATTTCTACCGCTTCCTATTTTCATTTCCACATTATGAAGTTTCACTTCTTCCGCGCGGAGGATCTCCACGCACTATTTTTATTATCAAATACATAATTCCAATTAAACAAATAGCAGCTTCTCAATATTAAACACAAATTATGAATTTAGCATATCTAGATGGAAATTTTTTTTTCCCCTTCATACATATAGTTATATAAAACCAGTACTGGTATAGCATAAAAGTAGACGATTCACTATTTTAAAACATGCATTAATAAAATAAATAGTAACAAAAATAAGATGACTCAAATTATTAAGTAGAAAAATGCATTATTTACACTAAATATATTAGACTGTCAAAGTAACAATACAATAACACTTTGCAACAACAACACTGAATATCAGATTGTCAAAGTACTGAGTTAAAAAAAATGCACATATTAAAAATAGTTTTATCAACTTGTAAAACTTAATATCAGGCAAAAGTATAACACTGATAACTTCCCCAATTAAATGCAAGCTGTATTAAATTTCAAGCTACCTAGAATAAAATTCAAGCTACCACAAATTTATAAAATTTTTAGTAGCATTTATAATATTTCAATAAAATATATGTAAAAAAACAAGCCTCATAAATAAGGTATATCATATTCAAAAAGAGTAAAATCTTCTTTATATATTTCAAAAAGTTTTCTGTGAGTCTCTGTTGATAGGTTTCTATAATAACTTTGCATCACATCGCGTGTGGGTTTATTTGGATAACTTTTTAACCTTTCGGGAAACTTGACGTACTTAGAAACACCAGTTTTTTCTAGAATAAAATTTGCATCATCTACCAATGTTTCATATTTTCCAATAAAATCGTACTTAATGTGACACGGGAAACAAAGGTCGAAAACAGGACGCCAGTGCTCATTGAAAGCCTTCTTCCACTCGATGACGCTGAGGCTCGTAATATATTGCACAAATTCCGCAAACCTGACATCGTGACCCTTTTCTAGGGATTCTTTTGAGGGATTTGTACGGAATTTTTTAATTATTTCGGTTCCAAAGCGGATTCTGAAATAGTTGACATAGCTGTCTTCCAACTTGTTACGATATGCGGACAGTATTCTTTCATATGGATGTCTGGTGAAAGCAAATTTCCAATAACTTTTGAGTTTTGTTTTTATCTCTTCAGATGAATACTGATTCAAAGTTTTAAAAATGTTTACCTGATGTGTCTCATTACCAGCAATAGTTAAAGGATCCATTGGCTTTGATTTTCTTAAAGTCAGAAGTATTCTTTTCCAATTAGTGCATGCAACCTTCAGAAAAATAATTCTTTTTAAAAAGTGAGAAAAATATTACAGGCAAAAAGATACTTTTGCCGGAACAGTGTTAAGAACTTGCAAAAGCTAATTAACTGAGAATTACTGATTATTTATTATTACACAATATTTATAAAATAATTAAACTTATAGAGCACTTACAATTTTAATATAACATCTAAGCGTAAAAAATAAATTTAAGACATTTGACTTGTTGATAATACAGTTAACTTCTTAAGTGTTTTTAGAAGGATGGACCACCACCGCTTGCTCCTTCACAGAGGTAAATGTACCTTCCTTGCCCTTTTCCTAAACAGTTGTCTCCTGTTTTATTTAGGGAAAAAATACTTCTTCATTTTAAGAAAAAGAGACTGCAGTAGATTAACATAACTACTGCAAGTTATTCTTAGACTAAGTTAATATAAAATATTATTTCTCATATTTATTTGAGTAGTTTCAATTCTGTTTTAAAGGGCACTAATCTAGCTGGATATAATTGATACAGTTAGTAAGATTAGTGCCTATCAAAACTGATGGTGCATTTCCTTTTGAAAAATCACCCTGCCCTTTTCTAGCTTTGGTGAAATTTCTGGTTGATGTGTAAAGAATAATAAAATAGTACAGTAGTGCTGCCATTGTAAGAGTGTTTTTTCATTTTTCCTATCTTAAATTTGAAATAGAGTGATAATAAATAACAATTATCTGCTTCCACACTTTGGATGACTAACTTACATCAACTATGGTTTTTTTATTAAAAAAAATATCTTATATTTAAAAAAAAAAGATTTTTACCAGCAAAAATTTGCCAAACTTTATTATAGTCATTATCAAAATGAATGTGTTTCTCAAAAAGCATTTTGTAACATCTTAGGGAATTATGGGATATTAAAATTATAGTTCTTNTGAAGTGGGGGGGGGGGGAATCTCGGGGAATGATTTAAAGAATCATTCCCTGAGATTCCTCCCCTCCAACTCAAACTTTCTAATGATTCAAGCAAAGCTCATTCTAGGCAGGGTAAACAGGGCGCAGCACCCTGCCGCCCTTTTTGTCAAAAAAATCCACCCTGTTGCCCCTGANTCGTATCATTTGACATATGATGTGATGTCTATAGGAACACCATGAATATTGTAGGCTTAATAATATTTTTCAAGTCTTAAAAATTTTCACATTTGGTTTGCTTCGCAATTGACTTATATACTCGAGATACCAAAAATTTGACGTCCCAACATAAAAATTGTTAGCTCAATAATATTTTTTTTTTAATTTTTGGAAATTTTCATGTCTGATTTGTTTTGCAATCGACTCATACACTCAACATACCAAAAATTGATGTTTCTTAATTAAAAATAGACTTATACATTGCGTAGACTTATGTACCAAGATAAAATGGAAGTATGTACGGTATATGGAAAATGTTCGGAATTTTGACTTTTTAGATGTATGCAAATTTCGGGTTAAACTATTTTCAAAGCTCATTCTAGGCAGGGTAAACAGGGCGCAGCACCCTGCTGCCCTTTTTGTCAAAAAAATCCACCCTGTTGCACCTGAAGTAAATTAGTGCCCTGATATAATAGACTCCATACCCTTTTTGCCCTTTCTTTTCTCTACCCTTCTTTATTTTTTCCCCAAACTCCACAATGGATTTCTTAAACTTTTATTTTCAACTCTTTTTATTTAGTTTGTCATTGCTGTCAATACATAGATTTATATGGGAAAGGAATAATAGAGATCACACCCCCTTGTTGCACTTATCATTGAAAGTTTGCACTATCATTAAATCATAATTATTATTAATCATTTTAATTTTTAAATCCCAACTACAGACACTTAAAAACATACATTTATTATTTTATTAAGGTATGCATGCATTTTTAAATAAATTACTAAGCTTATTAGCTCATTAACTCAATATATATGTTAATTTATTAATAAAAGTTAGTAATTAATATGATTGCAGTAAGGAAAAAAAAAAGTTCTTTTACTAATTGACAATGTTTTTTAATGGAACGTGTAGAGCCCATAGAAAGAAATTATTGCCTTTTAGAATAATTATGCCCTTTTTTTAAACTTTTGCACCCTGCCCTTTTTTCTGCCTAAAATGAGTTCTGATTCAGTCTACATACTAAACATAATCGTTTTTTTTTTAAAAATTTTTTTATTTTATTTTCCAGAATATCAACTATTTCAAGATATTGCATCATGAAGAATGTTTTTTAATATTTTAAATTAGCTAACATCAACTGTCATAAAAAATAATTTTCAACAACCTCGTATATCAAGAATTTTAAAATAAGGCTTAAATTAACAATAAAACAAATAAATTAATATTTATCTATTAAGTAACTTACAAAAGAAATTTAAAAGCAAGTTTTTTTTTTAATACTTATCAACAATTATGACAACATTAGCAATAAAATAAGTATAAAATATGTTACATACCTTAGGTACAAAACAGTATATAAGTTTGTGAGTGTCATCTACAATAAAATGGTCCAAATAAGAAGAAGGGATATCCTCTAAAGTCTGGTTGATTTTTAAAAACTGACAAGTTTTGTCTATCAGCAGTTTTCTCCGATTCTGCTCATTTTCTGTATCATAAAACTGAAATAAATATATTACGAAATTGAAAAATATATTAACATAATTAAAGTTTGGTTCTGATATTCTAAAACAATTTTGTGAGTTAATTCATCTTTAATCTTTAAAGGCTGGTCATTTTAAATTGCAATAACATAAAAAGTGCTACTACAAAAAGAACAGTAGTTTACTAATGTTTCAGTTAAGAGGGCTGGCTGTTTCAATGGCTATAATTGAATTAAAAAGAAAAAAAAATAGATACAAATTTGAAATTTTATAAAATATCACAGTGAATAAACATGTTTTGTTTCTTGAATAAAAACGACGAAGAAAATAATTGTGTCCCCAATTTTTATGTTTTTAGATAAAAGAACTGGCAAACTTCATTGCCAAGCCATTCATTGCATTGTCATAATATAATGAGTTAATTTAGAAATTTCAATTGAAACATACAAAACAATGGGAAAAATTAAATCATTAGGAAGTTCAGAGATTTTTGGGATATATGTAATAATTAGGTGGTATTTTTAATATTTTTCACACATGTTAAAAACATTAACATAATTTTTTTTAAAACTTTCATGTTTCATAACTTTCATTTCACGCTTCATAATTTTCATATTAACATATGTTAAAAACATTATAATGGTAATAACATATTTCACATATGTGTTCCCTCCAAGTGGAAATTGCTCAGTAGGATACCATTTTTCATAGCTATCAGCTAAAACTTTGAATCAAAGGTTTAATGTTCTTGTCATGATAAGGGAACATTGTTACAATTTAAATGCATCTCTATGTATGATTAAACCTTTTTTTTAAAAATAAAAAAAATCCAAAAATAATAACTTAACATAAAGTCCTCTTTAATTTTTCCAAGAAGTGCAAAAAGTAACAATTAAAAATTTACCTTTTGGTCCCTCCATTCAGTATTAAAGTTTCCTGTAAAATTAGAAGCTAGGTATTAGAAATTTAATAAAAGGTATCAAAAACATTCATTTAAAAATACAATCAAGACAATTAAAAAAACAACAGTTAAACAAAAAACAAATTATTCTACTTTTCAGATACAATTTATAGATAATTAAGGAAATGATAATGTAAAGAATTTCACATAAAAACAGGTACTTATTGCCATTGGTCACAGGGTCCATGAGTTGAAGACTCTTTTTTTAAGTTATCGCCAACATGAACATTATTCCTTACAGCCAATAAATACAAAATTTAAATATCAGGATAATTTTTTACCATCATAAATATTTTTGTACTTCAAATAAAATATTTCTTCAAATATCAACACTCAAAATAATACTGTAATCAATAACTACAACATGCAATATTATCTTTTTAACATATTATGCTTAATAATTTGAATATTATATTCAATTATTATAGTTACCAACAATAATTGGTTATTTACTCTACATGCATATTTTTCATTAATGTCGTATTTGATACACCTGTTGACTTTTGTAAAATTGTATTATCTTTGTAGTTTTTCCAGTATGTTGGCAAACTTGACTTAATGATCCCCTTCACCATTCAGTGTCAAAAATTTATACATTAATCATTAAAAACATTTATTGAGAAGAGGTAAAATGGAGTTATAAAATTGAACAATATGGGCAGAGGGTGACTAATTGTTAGTGTAATTAATCGAAATCAAATCAATAATTTTGATGGGTAATTTAAATCTCAAATATATTTTAATAAATGTTTTTGCATAATTTCTTTTAATGTAAGTAATGTACAAACGTAAAGTAATGTACAATTAACTTTTAAATGATTAAAGGTATTCATTCATTATAGGGGTCTATAAGAAAACCTATTACCATTGCTATTATATTATGCATCAACATTAATATATTTGGTGCATAATACCACAATTCTATAAGTACAGTACCTTTTACAACGATTACTTAACATTAATGTAAATAGTAAGGCATTTTTTTACAGCCTCCACTAAAATAGAATATCCAAGAAATAATTCATCAGAGTACTTCAATTTTTCTTCAGAATTGCAAAATTAAAATCGAGGTTGTTATTTGTAAGTTTATAAAGCTACTTTTAATTCATTATTACCTGTATTAAATGATTACAATTGATATTAATTACATTTTTCTCAACTTAAAATTTAAAGATACATCCAAAACAGACATATAATTGATTATTAAAACCATAAGTAATTTATTTTGATTATGTTATTTTATCAAAAACTATAGTGTGTAAAATCAGATAACTAAAATAGAAAGTCCCAATACTGACTACATTTCATCAGATAAATACTAATTCAATTATTCATATACCTTGCATTCTACACAGTTTAATGTAAAATGGAGTCAACACAGCCATTAAAAATAAAAAACAGTACACCCTACAGCGTGTGATTGGAGGCATGTCAAGAAAATAAAACTATCGTTTTATAAAAAATATTAAAAAAAATTAGATATTATTCTTTTCAAACATGTTAAAATTCACATCGCAAGTTTGTCATCATTACTTCTTTAACACATGTTAACACTTATTTATACAATAAAAAGAAAGATTAAAAAAAGGAAAAGACGAATATTACTGCAAATGACAAGTAAAGGCAGTAAAAGGTAAACAAATAACCAACTGGTTTGAATTGCCAGAAAAATTTCAAAGATTGTCAAATTTAATAAGCAAGTACAGAAAAAAAAACTTCCACTTCCACTTAAGTCTCTTTCTGATCATTTCTTGTTCGCAATGTCTTGAACATAAGCTATCGAAATGGGCTGCAGATGGCGTTGAGCAGAACTCTCTACCTATGGCAGTACGTTAGGAAAGAAGTACGTTAGTTTCTCACTTGATTTTCATATAGATTAAAATCTTTAAAATGGAAAATCAAATGGAACTGAAAACTATATTAAACATAGTTCTAAAGAAAAGCATCACGGAAATTTTGAAAAATATATTTATTAAATAAAAAGGAAAAATATCAAGAAAAGGGAAAATATCGTAGTACATTCCTATACAACTGAAAATAGGAGAAGAGGGAAGGGAGCAGGGCCAACGGCATGAAACCGGTCTCTCCCCAGATAGCGTATTCGAGCGTTGCGATCGCCAAATGATGTTGAAACGCTAGACTCGTAGCAAATCTTCATATGCAAAGAGTTGTAATTACAGAACTATAAGTTTATTCAACGAACTCGTCGCACTATTCAACAATATAACTGCTGCAGCAAATATATATGTATGCATATATATATATATATATACAGATAAATAGATATACATAATTATATATTATGCTGTAAATTTATATTATATATATTTTTAAAATGCAATCTTTCTTATAAAAATATTANTGATTATATATATATATGTATGTATATATTTGCGGATATAAGGATATAATCGTTTGCCCCAGTTGCTTGCTACTTTTTACTATTAATTTTCTCCCCCCTTTTTTATTATCTATATATATAATGCAAAATAAGCAAAAGAAGAAGAAAAGAAAATTTTTTGAGAAGTTGCTGCAGTTGGGAATCGAACCTGCTCCCCCTTGCCAGAGCCGTGAGCTACAAGTCCGGTCTCTAAGCTACCAGACCACTTGAACACGAGAAGCCTTCTATAATTTCACTTCAAAAGCCCTCTCACAGTCAGCTATGCAATAGACCTTCGGGACCCCCCTTCCTTTCCCTAATTAACCTATAAAAATTTCCATGTCAGGCATATTTGGACCATGGACCCCTACTTAGGGTCCGAGTTAGAAAATTATAACTTAATATTAAAGGGAGTAAGACGGCTTCGAAATTCGAAACCCAACCGGCCATTTTATTTTATTGCTTATTTTTTTATTATTATTCCATTAAGCGTTGTTCAACAAAGAAATATGCACGATTTTACTCCTAGTACACCTTACGCATGATAAACTGTCGAATATACTGTAAAAATAAATTGAGACAATGCAAATAAAATTTTTTTTATGGATTTTTTCAGATTTTATACAGTATTCGCCATTTTCCCAATTAAAAAAAAATTATTTACTGCATCTAAGACCCCCTATAATATCGAAGAGCACGATAAAAAAATAATATAATGCAAAATAAGCGAAAGGAAAAAAAAGAAATTTTTTTTGAAAAGTTGCCGTAGCTGGGATTTGAACCTGCAATCCCTCGGCCCAGCCGTGAGTTACTACTCCAGTGTATTGACCACCAGACCATTTGAACACGAGAAGCCTGCCACAATTTCGCTTCAAAAGCCCTCTCACGGTTAGCTATGCAATTGACCTTTGGGGACCCTCCTCTTCCCCCTAATTCACCTATAAAAATTACCTCGTACAGTATTGTTTAGACCATGGGCCCCTACTTAGGGTCCGAGATAGAAAATTATAACTTAATATTAAAAGGAGTTAGACGGCTTCAAAACTCGAACCGCACAACGCCTTTTTATTTCATTTTTTATTTTTTTATTATTATTCCATTACGTGTTGTTTAACAAAGAAAGATGCACGATTTTACTCATAGAACACCTTACGCATGACAAACTTTCAAATATATTGTAAAAATAATTTAAAACAATGGAAAAAACCCAATTTTCCTGGATTTTTCCAGTCTTTACCCATTATGTGAAATTTTCCCGATATAAAAAATTATTTCCTACATGTAGGGCCCCCTAAAATACACAAAAACACAATAAAAAAATAATATAATGCAAAATGAGCGAAAGAAAAAAAAAGAAAATTTTTTGAAATGTTGCAGCAGCAGGGATTTGAACCTGCGACCTCTCACCCCAGCCGTGAATTATTAGTCCGGTGTCTTGACCACCACACCACCCGAATACTTGAAACCTGCCACAATTTGGCTTCAAAAGCTCTCTCACGGTCAGCTATGCAATTGAACTTTGGGGACCCCCCTGCTCCCCCTAATTCACCTATAAAAATTTCCTCTTACAGTATTGTTTGGACCATAGACCCCTACTTAGGGTCCGAGTTTGAAAATTATAACTTAATATTAAAAGGAGTTTGACGCCTTCGAAATTCGAACCGCACCCAACCTTTTTATTTTATTTTTTTATTATTATTCCATTATGCGTTGTTTAACAAAGAAAGATGCACGATTTTATTTATAGAACACCTTACGCATGACAAACTTTCAAATATATTGTAAAAATAATTTAAAACAATGGAAACAGACGAGCATACGAATCACCCCGTATCTTCCTTTAATATTATTCTATAATTTTCAAACTCGGCAAGAGATTGGAGTTTAATATACTTAACAATCGTACCAGAGAGAATTTTTATAGAAATATCAGGGGGCCTACAATGTCCCATAATAGGTTCCATTAGGTACCCGCTTTAAAGTTCTTTAAGCTTGATATTCGCGGCAGAAGTGTGTGAGGCATAGCGTGGTTGGAAGAGCGACGGGGTAGTAAGCATAGGGGCTGGGGATCGATACTGGCAGAAGATTAATTTTTAAAACTGCGATACCGGTCAAGGGTTAATTTTTATTTATTTATTCTATATTATTTTTTTGATATCTTTTTCAATATTTTTACGTGAATGAAGTGTTCAATATATAAAAATTAGTATTTTTCTATGGGAAAATGCGAATAATTGCTAAAAAAACGGATAAATTTCGGCTCTGCAAATGAGCATAGGAATCCCCCCGTATCTTCCTTTAATATTAACTTATAATTTTCAAACTCGGCAAGGGATTGGAGTTTAATATACTAAACAATTATACCAAAGAGAATTTTTATAGACATATCAGGGGGCATACAATGTCCCATAATAGGTTCCATTAGGTACCCGCTTTAAAGTTCTTTAAGCTTGATATTCGCGGCAGCTGTGTGTGAGGCATTGCGTGGTTGGAAGCGCGACGGGCTAGTAAGCAAAGGGTCTGGGGATCGATACTGGCCGAAGATTAATTTTTAAAACTGCGATACCGGTCAAGGGTTAATTTTTATTTATTTATCCTATTATATTTTTTTGATATCTTCTTCAATATTTTTACGTGAATGAAGTGTTCAACATATATAAATTATTATTTTTCTATGGGAAAATGCGAATAATTGCTAAAAAAACGGATAAATTTCGGCTCTGCAAACGAGCATACGAAACCCCCCGTATCTTCCTTTAATATTAACTTATAATTTTCAAACTAGGCAAGAGATTGGAGTTTAATATACTAAACAATCGTACTAAATGAAATTTTTATAGACAAATTAGGGGCATACAATGGCTCAAAATGGGTTAAGTTAAGTAACCGCAGGAAAGTTCCTTAAGCTTAATATTAGTAGCAGTAGCGTGTGGGACGTGTTGTCGTTTGTTGCGGCCTGGGGCTAGTTACGAAAGTTGTAGATCTTGGGTCAGAGGTTCGATACCGGTCAAGGGTTAATTTTTAAATTTTTTTCATTTGTTTTTCTCCATAATATTTTTTTTACTTCTTTTTCAATTTTTTAACGTAAATAAGGGGTTCTATGTATAAATTTTATTTTTCTTTTCTCCTACGGTTAGCCTGGTGGCCAGGGGACTCTTGCGAATGATTTGTCCACGGCTCAGGATATTTTACGTCTGCACTGTGGTTGACGCGATTCGGGTGCGGAATTCGTATTAACCATCGCAAGGACTCTATCCCGATTTGCCACATTGGGTGGCAAGCGCTCTGCACCCTGAGCCACCACGACTCTTTATTGATGTATTTTATTTTATAACTGTCATTTAACACTCGACCCAATTTAGGGTTTATGGCTACCGATGTGATGTTCAATTTCGTTGCCTTGTATTTTTGAACGCAACACAGAAAACAAGGGAACTCCTGGATCAAGTATCGGGAGAAATTTGCCTTCCTGGAGGACTTTTAGATGGAACTAACCCTCATTTGCGTTATATATAGAGAAAAATCACGGAAATATGCCATGGTTAGCCTGACGGTACGGGGACTTTAACCCATGATCCGTCTACCACTGAGGATATTTTACGTCAGCACTGTGATCGGTGCAAGCCAGATGTGGAATTCGTATTGACCAGTAGTCGCTGTGATTCGAATCCGGTGAAATCTGATTTAAATGGTTTCTCTCTTGTTCAACCTCAAGTTTAACCGATCTTTAGATAACGCCTTGTAACACTGAAATATCAAAATGATTAAGAAGAAAACTTTATTAACGAGGAAGAGTTTTTTTGTAATACTGATGAAGCAGTGAGTAAATAAAAAAAATCTAAAGCTAAAAGAAAAATTAAATAAAAAAACTGTAAGTGCGATATTTTATTCAATAGTTTTAAAAATTGGAAATAACACTATTTCGAAAATAGTGATCTGTATAAAATCTTTCCTTTTAGTAAAATGCATTACGTTTTCAACTATACGATTTTAATGCGTAGTAAAATATTCCGTACTTGTATATAGTTCTGATTTATGTTGGTATTTTTTAAAATCCTAAAGCATTTCGCCTCTTATTTTATTACACTTCAGAATACTAGAAGTAAAGATTCTATGTTGCATTTAGTTCAAACTTTTTTAATTGGCGAGTTTTCAATTGGCGACTTTAGTTTGGCAAATTCTAGGAAACCAATACGGAGAAACAATGTAACAACCCTAGAAAACCAAAGCAGTATTCTCTTTCCTCTGATGAATTAAACGCAAATTTCAGGTTGATTGAGTAATTATTTG